CGGTGTCCGCTTCGCGGCCACCTCCTCCCCACCACCTCCCCCACCCACCGTCCCCAAGAAATTCAAGCCACCTAAACACCAAGGCCAACCTCCGGGGACAGGCACACGCTAATCTCATGGTCTCACATGCCACCGTCCATTGATGGCAGCCTGACCATTTCAATGATACACGGCTTCAAGAGATGGGTGGTCCTCCTGTCTCGGTAGCACTTGTGCCTGACAGTCCCCAGATGCGCAACAGATCTGTGGAAGTCACGTGTAGGAGCGACGCTGACTCGGAGATCTTCAATGCTTTCCCTCGTGCTCGCCTCACGTGCCTCGTACCAATACCATCCCGCTTCTCTACCAGGCTACTACCACTACAAAATAGAGGGAGATATACATAGTCTTGAATGGGATCATGGACAGCGCCCTCCTTCATCCCGATCAATTCCTGCGTGTGCCATCTGTCCATTGATATTATGCACACCTTCGCTCTCCTGCCCAAACCTGCAACGCTCGTCTCGCTCTGCCAAAGTCAAGAGGTCATTCGATTAGATGTCGACAGCACCGGGCTGCCGCAAGAAGAGGTTGGAAGAAGCATTTTCGATTTCGACAGAGAAAGAAAGACCGCCTGTAAGATCGTCGATGGTATCGCCGTCGTCGTTGCGTTATGGGTAGAAGAGCAGCTTGGAAGTGCGTGATCGCTTATCGGAGAGAGAAGCCCTTTCTCTTGCCCTTCTCCTCGATCGGTCGGCCTTGCTCGATGCGAGATTTCTTCTCCTCCAGCTCCTGTCGTTGACGTTCGAGCTGGTCCTTCATTTCGCGATGGCGGGCAAATAGCTCTTCTTCGCTCTGTTGCAGCTTGCTCTCCTTCTCACTGACCTTCTGCTGGAACACCATCTTCATCTCGGCTTCCATCTTGGCTAGCTTCTGCTCGTGAAGTGTGCGCTCCTCTTCCTGCTTGACCGCCGGGTTGACCTCCTTGAAGACACTTGGATCTTGCGAGACGCCCATCTGGATGAGCTTGTCTGACCGGTAGGCCTCATACAGAGAGTTGTTGGTGTGCTCCTTCAGCTCTTCCATGTGCGTGCGGATCAGCATCTGTCGCAGCTTGACGAAGTCGCAGTGGTCTTCGTTGTCGACTTCAATGATGCCCCAAGGATAGCGACGACCACGGACCTTGCGTCCTTCTGGGTTCGTGACTTCGTAATTGGCGCCCACGACTGCGAATGGCACCTTGGACATGATCTCGTTGTTCTCGGCAATGGTCTCTTCGTCATCGAGTTCGTAGCGAGGGCCCTCGAATATCTGAATCGAGTGATGCTGGACGTCGCTCAGAATCTATTCATGTTAGCTAAAGTTCAGAAATTTCGAGTAGCCGAACTCACTCTCGCCTTGAATGAGGCAATCTCTTCATCGGTCAAAGTGTCGGCCTTTGCGATGACAGGAATGAGGTTGACCTTAGTATGGAGGCGGCGCATGACTTCGATGTCCAGAGGCTTCAGCGAGTGGCCTGTGGGTTGAATGAAGTAGACACAAGCATGGACACGGTTGTCGACAATGTTCATACGGTTAACCTTGTTCTCGGCTTCGAGGTAGGCATCAAATCTCTGCTCAATATTTTCGATGATGGGACGCCACGAATCATCGTTGTTGACAAAGTCTCCGAAGCCCGGTGTATCAACGACTGTCAATCTGAGTCTGACGCCGTTCTCTTCAATGTCTGCGCTGATAGATTGGATGGAGACCGTCTTCGGGATGATGTCGAGACTGGGTCCTTTGCGCTCGCGAGGAGGGTAGAGGGACGTGTTGAAGAGAGTGTTGACGAGGGTCGACTTGCCGAGGCCGGATTCGCCTGGTCTTTGTCAGTTTCGAACACTCTAAAGTGGCTGGACTTGAGACATACCGACTACCATGACGTTGAAGTTGAAGCCCTTGCGAACACTCTTGCGGTGCCATTGGTTGGGCAGATTGGCAAAGCCGACGTAGCCTGTCAACTTCCGGCGAACGACATTGCGCATGTCGCTAGCTGCGGCAGCCGCAGCTTTGGGGTCTTTCGACGAGACGGTCTGAGCAACACCCGAGCCGTGAGGGTTGCTCTGGCTGACGAGGGGTGCGGTCGCTTTGCCATTGGCGACGGGTGGAGAGGGTGCTTTGGCTAGCGGGCTGCCATTTGCAACGGCGGCTGGTTCAGATTCGTCAGTAGATGCACTTCTGGAGGGATTCATTGCGACGGTCTCAGCGCTGGATAGGTTGATGAAATCCGTGATGACCACCATGGTCGATGCACAGAATGATCGATTGTGTATTGATGAGGCGGTTCTGCTTGCGCGTGGCTTTGACGAAGAGTTCGATGGAAAGGCCTGCAGAGAGGTTTGTGTGTGACTTGTGGAAGGGAAGCTCACCCATCGTGCTTTCTTTTTGCGTAACGACAACTTTTCAGAGGGAGAAGGTGCGAATGCGCTTTTGATGTACTCTACGCCTAGACCTCACGTCAGTCCTGTATCTCATATGTCGCAGTCGCGCAGTCTGGGCGGCCTCTGTCTTCCACTGCACCGATGCGGAAGAGAAAGAGCGGAGATTTTGAGGGGAGCTGAGACATACCGTTGGGCCCGAATAGAGGGCACCGCGACCGTTTTCTTGCTCACAGCGACGACGAGAAGCGAAGGAAGGGGTCAAAATAATACACTCACGCGCCGGAGAAAGTAACGGCTCGAGGAGAAATAGTTATGCTGAGAAACACGGAGGTGCAGGCTGTCAATGTCAGAGGAAGTGAATCGTGGAAAGGGGGAGTTTTCGGGATACGTGCTTTCATTGGCTGCGGTGTGCGTCGGTGGAGCTGGGGATGATCGCTCCGGCCAAGCTTCAGGGAGTTCGTGGTCGACCCCTGTCCCTACCCTGGACCGCGACGTCGGCATATACTTTGGCTGAGTCGTGTGATAGAAGCATGGACAGGATTGCAGCACTACATCATCGCAGCCACTCAATCGCTGTTGAGCTGTAGAGAGGTGACATTTATCTTTTTACACGTCTGCCAGAATCTTCTCCCCTCCAGCACAATACCTCTCTCGTTCCATGTCTTAATGTACATCGCAATCCAATCGCTCATAATGCCCGCTGCATGCATCCCAGCACGACCGCCTCTAGGGGTATCCGTAGTCTATCAAACGCCGCTCAAGATATGCTCGCCTGCAACGCGTGAAGGTCGTCACACGCGTCCGCGACTGAAATGCCTCAGATCATCTCACCATCCGATGGCTGTATTGAATCGAAGTACTTCAACAAGTACTGGTAGGCGACCAACATTGTAGTTGTCTGAACACCGGTCCACACAAACCTCGGCCCCACGCCTCGGAACCAGCCTGCAAGTCCCTCCGTCTTATAGATCAGTCGTAAACCTTGTATGACTGACGAAGTGTCGAGCGTTGGTGCCGTCGTCGGTACTGTGCGCGGACTCGAGTGCAGTAGCCTTGTCTGTGTGCTACTGCTTGTGTTCTTGCCCTTCTTTGCGGCCCGCTTCTCCATGTGACTGGCTTGGCTGCTCTTCGCGTGATCGTCTGGATTGATCTGTGTTTGCGTTCTCGTCTTAACCACATCCAGCGGACATGTCAGCACTCCCGCTGCACCTCCTGCAGAGAGTGCTGTTACCATCTCGACCCACAATGGCAGGTCTGTCGATCCAGACCACCGCATTGCATATGCCCGCTCTTGCTCGTAGAAGGCGAACTGCAATGCTGAAAATGGGAGATCGCGAACTATGGTTGCTTTGTAGCCGGAGTACAGGGCGGTGAATCCTTCTGTACGAACGATTGTGCGTGCTGCATCCCAGGTCGAACGGTAGTTGTAGCCGGAGTAGAAGAAAGGATTGTTGTAGCGGCCTTGCAATTGCAGCCGTGTCTTGAGAACTTCGGAGGGCACATAGATCACTGAGGCTGCGAAGTCGGCGATGAAGCCTGGAGAACAAGTCAGCAACGGAGAGGCGGAGGCGCAAGCAGGCGCAATGATGCTTACCGGCACTGAGAAACGTGAGACTGGGATTTACACCCCGATTCAGCATCTGCCGCTTCGTATACTCGTATGTGCCGAAGAAAGCCACCGTGCCCGGGAATGAGCCTAGCATCGCGGCTGTGAAGCCTCCATATAGCCCCCGTCGAACACCTTCTTGACGAAAGATTTTCGCATACGAGTCTGAAAGGCTGGTGTATTTGGGAGGAAAGTGAGGGTCTCCTTGCTGTCGCGTCTTCACTGTGTCAAGTGAATGCATAAGTATGTCGCCGCTCGTACCGCCGATGCCTCCAGCGAACATGGCCTGGTAGGTCGCTGTTAGTCGAAGTGTAGAAATGCTCGAATAAGAGACATACATGAAGGTATGGCGGCCTCTTCAATTCAATATCTTCTTCCGCATCTTGACTCATTGCCTTCGGTGACGCTGATGTATTCTGTCGTGTGCCGTCGAGACTCTGTGGGATGTGGATGGGCGCAGCATCGTGTGCCGCCGGGAGTGAGAACTGCGCTTGCTGGTGAGATTCGTCTTGTCCGAACAGACGAGAGATGAAGCTCATGGCAGGGCCAAAGCCCGTCAGATATGGTAGCTCGAATGCGGTATGGAAGTTGACGCTGTACAACTGCTGGCAAAGGGAATAGAATCGCTTAAGAGAACGACAATGAAGTTCAAAGCCCCCCAATATGTTGAATATGCGATGATGTCCATGCGCAAATAAAAAGTTGTGGCGCGGCTCCGAACTTCACACCTCGCCCGAGTCTCCGATGAAGAGGCTGAACTCAGACCGGTTGACAAGAGGGCGACCAGTCCTACCCATTAGGCTGCTTCTCTTCCATTCAATGCGCATGTTACGTGCGGCGACTATTGGGGCGTTCAGAAGTCCACGTTATCACGCTGCGTCGTAAGGTGATCATCATTTGTCTACAGCATATGTAGCGACGTGGTGTTGATGACGGGAGCTTGCGGATATATTTGCCCAGCGAAGATGCCGACAGAACTATACGTGGGAAAGCGCTGCTCGAGAGTAAAGGAAGTGACGGCACTCGTTTTGCAGCACAAGTCAACATCGCCAGCTTTTACTCGACGCCTATCGAATGTTCAAGTGCTCAAGTTTTTGTACAACACTCGCTCAGCTTCACGCCATTCCGCAAGCCCAGAACCCCAATGCTAGCAGCGTCTAAGAACAAAGGTATTGCCTCGCAAGCTCATAGAAGCATCTCCAAAGGATTCTCGATCACCTTCTTCAGCTCTCTTATCCACTCGCCTCCGACCGCGCCGTCGACAACCTTGTGATCAAAGCTTGCGGTAACGATAATCTGGTCATCCCACTCCGTCAGAGTACCCTCTTCTGTTTCCACGGGCACCGCTACCTTGCGAGTTGTGCCGACCGCCAGGATAGCTGCCTGTGGCGGGTTGACCACTGCTGTGAATCTCTCAACCGCAGCATTCATGCCCATGTTGCTGATTGTGAATGTGCCTCCTTGGTACTCCTCGGGCTTGAGCTTGCCATCTCGCGCGCGCTTGCCGAGATCTTTGACGGCATTCGAGATAGCCGTCAGACCAATTGTGTCAGCATTCTTGACGATGGGTGTCATCAGGCCGACTGGAGTAGCGACCGCAACGGAGACATCGACGGTACTGTATTGCCGGATGACAGTCTGGCCGCCGGATTCTCTCCAGCTGGAATTTACTGCCGGCACCTTCTTGCAGGCGACGGCGCAGGCTTTAATGAGGAAGTCGTTGACCGACAGCTTGTAGGCACCATTGGCCGAGGCATTGAGTGATTCTCGTAGCTTGAGAAGCTTGCCAACGGACAGGGTAGTTGAGACGTAGTAGTGAGGATTCTGGTTCATCGACTCCTTCAGTCGGCTGGCAATGGTCTTGCGCATCGAGGTGGCCGGGATGTCCTCGTATGAAGGCGCAGCAGCAGCCGCGGGAGCCGCAGCGGGTGCAGCACCTCCTGACGCAGCAGGGGACTTCTCGGAGCCCTTTGGTGGCCTTCGGTCAAGCACACTCTGAAGTCTTCCACTCGATGCTGAGCTATCCTCGGGAGGCGGCGCGGATTTGGACTCGGACTTTGGTGGTGCAGTGTCAGAACCTGACTCGGGTGGTTCGCTGGACTGAGATGCTTCCTCCTTTGGCGCTTCTTTTGGAGGGGACTTTTCGCCGCCAGCATCGTCGATGGTGAAGCTCTCGAAGGCGGACGTATCTTCGCCCTCTTCAACCATGACTGCGATAGGCTGTAACGGATCAGATATAGTCTCAAATAATTCAGACTGGACATACGCTGCCAACGGCCACATCTTTCTCCCCAGTCTCTTTCAAGATCTTGGCAAGCACGCCGTCTTCCTGAAACTCAAAGTCCATCTGCGCCTTGTCTGTCTCAATCTCGACCAGCACGTCTCCGGGAGCCAGGCCGTCGCCAACCGATTTCTGCCACGCGCCAATATTTCCCGCGGTCATGGTCGGCGAAAGCGCAGGCATGGTGATGACAGTGTGCGCTGGGAATGCTGCAATCGTAAGTATGCGTCTCTGGCTCGGGACGGCTTCCTTTGCTTACACTTTGAGGCATAGTATCGGCTGAGGGCAGACAGCATTGGAAGGGGCCGCAGTCTGTTTCTATTAGATTGGAAGCGGCGGAGCTCGATGAGAAGCTTACGCAGCATTCTGTATTCTGTGGGCGACATTGTGACTGAGGCCTGAGCTTGGAGTAGCTTGTAGAAGTAACCTCGACGAGGAGCGGAGAGTGAGGGTTGAAGCAGCCATTACTGGAGAGGTTGGTGATTTATGCCTCTCCCCAGGCTAAGGAGTTTTCGAAGGACGCAACGACTGAAAGAGCGACTGGGAGGGACGGAGCCTCTATTAGGGGAGGAGGTGACAACGAGAAGAAGGTTCGCAGCACGAATGAGAAGGGCCGCGAAGACAGAGAGGACGAGGAGGAGAGCAATGTGTTGGCGTACAAAAAGTACGAGCGATGCTTGCACCTGCCTCAACAACTTCCAGTGGAGCTTGTCGGAGCGTTCATGGCGTCCGGCGGGTGTTTGGACCACCGTAGCCTCACGCTTGCCTTGCGCCTCGCCGTAGCGTTTCCCTGTGGAAGCGGCACCTAAGGCAGTCCCCGAAGAAGAATAAAGGATGACCGCGCTGAACATGTGAAGACAAGGTCTTGTACACACGTCCCTCATCATCCAGACCCGCACCACTAGTATCTGACCGCCTGAATATGTCGAGGAATAGCATACACCAATGATCGATCCTACGCGGGCCTGACTGATTGTGCTGGAGTTGGGAGGCCATGTCTGGGGAGGAAGAGTCCGATCTACCACCCGCCGATGAAGAGCCCATACAAAGCCACACGCCGCAAGACAGCACACCACCAACAACCGTGACTGATGACAGCGGCACGATAGACGATGACGCCGAAGCAGCCGCGGTCAAATCACCCCCTCCGCGTATCACTGTAGAGGGCGAGAACGTTGATGCCTCCGACCACGAAGGCACCGAAACGCAGCCGCCTATCCGAATACCTGACACGCCGGATGACGGACGAGGCAATGGCGAGACGAAGGGCGAAGACATTTCTACTACGGCCGACGCAACAATAGCCACAGAAGCCATCAATGGTTCCAGCACCGATGACCGGGGGTTGAACGGAGACGATGTGTCCTCATCGGCAGGCACTGATCTGCCCACTCGAACTCGTACCGATTCGAGGTCGACTACAGCAACGCGATCAATGCCAGTCTCCTCCACAGTCTTCATTGTCACTGCTCTGGAGTCGATTGGCAACTCGAAAGAGGCACGAAGGAGCAAAGAGTTCGGAGATGCGGTGCAGGCGGCACTGAGCAATATCCAGAGCAATGACCAGGCAGTCAATCCAGAACTGATCTTCCGTCCGCTCCAGCTAGCCACAAAGTCCTTCTCAGTCCCATTGCAGGTCACAGCCCTCGACTGCATCGGCAAGCTGATCAGCTATTCCTACTTCGCCTTTCCCTCTGTGACCATCACCTCACCCGACGCACAGCAGCCCGAATCTGCGGAGACGCCGCCCTTGATCGAACGAGCTATCGAGGCCATCTGTGACTGCTTCGAGGGAGAGGCTACTGCTATCGAGATCCAACAGCAGATCATCAAATCGTTACTTGCGGCGGTGCTTGACGACAAGATTGTGGTACATGGCGCTGGCTTGCTGAAGGCAGTCCGGCAAATTTACAATATCTTCATTTATTCCAAGTCCAGTCAGAATCAGGCAGTTGCACAAGGCTCTCTGACACAGATGGTAGCCACGGTCTTCGAACGCGTCAAGGTCCGATTGGAGGCTCGAGAAGTCCGGGCACAGCCCAAGTCAGAAGAGGATTTGTCTCTCACAGACGAGATTGCCCTCAACGGTCTTAACGGCACCGTCGAGACACCGGACACAGAAACACCGCCAGTCCTGCAATCCGATGGCAGGCCAGCGATGACGTTGAAGGACTTCGAGAATAATCGTACATTGGACGATGCTGTGGCGGCGGACTCGGCACCCACAATGGTCACGAGAGCCAGAGAACGGAAAGGCACCCGGAACGCGTCCGGAGCCGTCTCGCGATCGAGCATGCAGGAGGATCGTGAGGAGAGTGAGCTGTCGGTGGACGACGAGGACGAGATATACATCAAGGACGCCTTTCTAGTCTTCCGATCGCTTTGCAAGCTGAGCCAGAAAGTCCTGACTTACGACCAGCAACAGGATCCAAAGTCGCAGAATATGCGATCGAAGTTGCTGTCCCTGCACCTCATCCACCACACGCTCATCAACTTTACCATTGTCTTCAACTCGCCACAGTCGACACTTAAGGGCGGTCCGGGAGGCGAATCGAACCATTTCATCGAAGTCGCCAAACCCCACCTCTGTCTGAGTTTGTCGAGGAACGCCTCCAGCTCAGTCTCACGGATCTTCGAGGTCTGCGCCCAAATATTCTGGCTTTGCCTGAAGCATCTTCGAGTCGCGTTGAAAAAGGAGTTGGAGGTGTTCCTCAAAGAGATCTATTTGGCTGTTCTAGACAAGCGGACTGCGCCGCAATTTCAAAAGCAAATGTTTATGGATGTATTGGAAAAGCTGTCTAGCGATGCGCGGGCGTTGGTGGAGATTTACCTTAATTACGATTGCGACCGAACAGCCTTGGACAACATGTATCAAAGTATCATCGAGCATTTGTCACGAATATGCAGCACACCCGTGGCAGTCTCGCCACAACAGCAAGTCCTGTACCAAGAGCAGAACAAGGCCAAGTCACACCATCACGACTGGCATTCGAAGGGCTCATTACTGCCCAGCCTTTCCACTTCCACCCTCAGCCATTCGCCGCCGCAGCCGCCCGCGATTCCAGCTGAATACCTGCTCAAGCAGCAGTCATTGAAGTGTTTGATAGAAATTTTGACGTCGCTCGACCACTGGTCTGGCGGCCAGGTCGTCGACAGCAGTGCGAGTAGTATCTATCCTCCGTCACGGTCTTCGATGCACGACTCGAGAGATTCACTCGACACGGATCGGCCACCGCCATCTCCGCGGGCTCCGACCGGATTTGATGCAAGCTCAGGCGTTGGCACACCCATTGGCGAAGATGATCCGAGCGAGCTCGAAAGAGTGCGAAGAAGGAAGATTGCGCTCAACGAGGCAATTCGGCAGTTCAACTTCAAGCCGAAGAAAGGGATCAAGCTCCTCCTAGCGGATGGATTCATTAGAAGTGATGCGCCCGAGGACATTGCTCGATTTCTTCTGTCCGAAAGCAGACTTGACAAAGCTTCGTTGGGCGAGTTTCTAGGCGAAGGAGATGAGTTCAATGTGGCCATCATGCACAAGTTCGTCGACCAGATGAACTTCACCAAAAGGAGATTCGTCGAAGCCCTTCGACAGTTCCTCCAAAGCTTCAGGCTACCGGGAGAGGCTCAAAAATCGATCGATTCATGCTCAAATTCGCTGAGCGCTATCTCACTGGCAACCCTAACGCTTTCGCAAACGCTGATACAGCGTATGTACTGTCATATTCGGTGGTCATGCTGAACACAGATCAGCATTCTGCTCAGGTGAAGAAACGAATGACACCAGAAGACTTCATCAAAAACAATCGCGGCATCAACGACGGACAAGATCTGCCACCAGAGTATCTGACTGGCATCTACGAGGAAATCCAATCCAACGAGATCGTGCTGTCGTCTGAAAGAGAACAGGCAGCAGACAAGGGCATCGCTGTTGCTGGCCCCAGTACTGGCCTCGCCTCCAGAGCAGTCCAGGGTTTGGCAAACGTTGGCCGAGACTTGCAAAGCGAGAAGTACAACCAAGCTTCCGAGGATATGGCTGCCCGAACGGAGCTGCTGTATCGCAGCCTTATTCGAGCTCAAAGGAGGACGAACGTGCGCGAAGTTCTGTCGAAGTTCATTCCTGCAACTTCGGTCAAGCACGTCGGTTCCATGTTTAACGTAACGTGGATGTCGTTCCTGTCGGCGATCTCGAGTCAAATGCAGGATGCTCAGAATTTTGAGCTTATCAAAGAGTGTCTCAACGGCCTGAGACTTGCTATTCGGATATCTTGTCGATTTGATCTGGACACGCCGAGGACTGCCTTCGTCACCTCTTTAGCCAAGTTCACGAATCTTGGGAACCTCAAGGAAATGATGGCCAAGCATCTTGAAGCCCTGAAGGTGCTCATCGACATCGCGCTGACGGAGGGTGATCTGCTCAGGTCATCCTGGAGAGAAATTTTGACATGTATCAGCCAGCTTGATCGCCTGCAGCTCCTCTCAACGGGAGTTGACGAGAACTCTGTGCCAGATGTCAACCGCGCATCAATCCCTACGCCTTCGAATGCAGGCGAGCCTCGATCACGGAAGTCCCAGCAAGGCCGAAGACCGAGACCAAAGTCTGGTCAGAGCTTCCGACCTGAAGTTGCCGATGAGACCAAGTCATCCGATATGACTAGGAGCATAGATCGGATCTTCTCAAATACGGCCAAACTCTCCTCTGATGGCATTGTCGACTTTGTCGCCGCACTTACTGCGGTGAGCTGGCAGGAGATACAGTCCTCAGGCAACAGCGAGTCTCCACGAACTTATAGCTTGCAGAAACTTGTCGAGATCAGCTACTACAACATGACCAGAGTCAGGATTGAGTGGACACGACTGTGGGATGTGCTCGGTGAACATTTCAACCAGGTTGGATGCCACAACAACACCCACGTAGTGTTCTTTGCCCTGGACTCACTGCGTCAATTGTCGATGCGCTTTCTGGAGATCGAGGAGCTTCCAGGCTTCAGATTCCAGAAGGACTTCCTCAAGCCTTTCGAGTACGTCATGGCCAATAACACCGTGGTGTCGGTAAAAGACATGGTCCTCAGGTGTCTGATTCAGATGATTCAAGCCAGAGGCGAGAACATTCGATCTGGCTGGAAGACCATGTTTGGTGTGTTTACAGTCGCAGCCGATGAGCAATACGAAGCTATCGTCAATATCGCCTTTGACTACACCAATCAGATCTATAAGGAGCGCTTCGGAGTCGTCATAACACAAGGATCTTTCCCAGACCTGATACAATGCTTGACGCAGTTCTCGAAGAACATTCGCTTCCAGAAGAAGTCACTGCAGGCCCTCGAGCTGCTGAAGTCGACAGTTCCCAAGATGCTTAAGACACCAGAATGCCCGCTCTCGCGCCGCCACAGCGTGCAGCCTCAGAACGGAGTCGTAGCAGGTGTACGCCAACCAAGTTCTCAGACCGAGGAAGAGCAGTTCTGGTATCCAGTTTTGCTGGCCTACCAGGACATTCTCATGACTGGCGATGACCTCGAAGTCCGGTCGAGAGCACTCAATTACCTATTCGAGACACTTATCCGCTACGGCGGCGACTTCCCACCGGAGTTCTGGGACATGCTCTGGCGCCAGATCCTGTACCCAATATTTGTCGTTCTGCAGTCGAAGACCGAAATGTCAAAAGTGCCGAATCATGAAGAGCTCTCGGTCTGGCTTTCGACAACCATGATCCAAGCCCTTCGGAACATGATCACTCTCTTCACGCATTATTTCGAATCTCTCGAGTCTATGCTTGATAGGTTTCTCGGTCTATTAGCTCTCTGCATTTGTCAAGAAAATGACACAATCGCTCGGATCGGCAGCAATTGTCTGCAGCAACTCATCCTCCATAACGTGACCAAGTTCAAGGCAGAGCACTGGGCAAAGATTGTCGGTGCATTCGTCGACCTATTCAACCGCACAACAGCCTACGACCTCTTCTCCGCTGCAGCCACCATGTCAGATGCACGATCTCCTCAACTCAACGCTACCGCTGGCGAAGGTCTGGCACTCTCTGGCGTTCCAGTCGTTGAAACGCCGACAGAAGAATCATCATCTGCAATACTCGACTCCAGCGAGGATCCAGCAAGCACAACTACCACCCACATCCCCTCCGACGCAGACCAGCCACTTGAAGAATTCAAACCCGCAAGCGTTGACACACAGACCCCAGTCCCAGTCGTCACCGCCGCCCGGAGGCGCTCTTCAACAAGATCATCACCAACTGCGTGCTCCAACTCCTCATGATCGAAACCGTAGCCGAGCTCTTCTCAAACGACACCGTTTACGCGCAGATCCCCTCGAACGAGCTCCTCCGCCTCATGGGCCTCCTCAAGAAGTCCTACCAATTCGCGAAGCGCTTCAACGGCGATCGGGAACTTAGGCAACAGCTGTGGCGGCAAGGCTTCATGCGCCAGCCACCCAACCTGCTCAAGCAAGAATCCGGCAGTGCGAACACCTACGTTCAGATCTTGCTACGGATGTACTCCGACGAAGGCGAGGAGCGGCGGAGCAGCAGAGAGGAGACGGAGGGTGCTCTCATCCCGTAAGTCGACTTTGCCCTTTCCCATTGCCCATTTCCACCACCCCATCAACCCAATCGGTACTAATCACACCTCTCTTAGACTCTGCGCAGACATCCTCCGCGCCTTCACCGCCCTCGACGAAGAATCTCAACAGCGCAACATCGTCGCCTGGCGGCCCGTCGTCATCGACGTCCTCGAGGGCTACACAAATTTCCCCGCGCCGGCGTTCGAGAAACACATCGACACCTTCTACCCGCTCGGCGTCAACCTGCTGGAGAAAGAAGTGGGATTCAGTGGCGGCGACATGAGGGCGGCATTGTGGGGCTTGTTCAGACGGGTAGGCGAGGTCAAGTTCGGCATGCCGGAGTACAGAGGGAGGCAGAATAGTTTGAGTGGTAGTGTGGCTGCTACGCCGACGAGTCCGAGTCTGGAGAGAAGGGAGTGGCTGGGGAACGGTGGGGATGCGGAGAGGAGGAGGAGAGGGAGTAGGTTGGGAAAGTGACGTGTACTCAGGGACTACAAAGTGTGAGCACACAGCTACATCGCCTGTCGAGCGTCGACTGAGTTGTATGAAAGTAATTGACTCTGTCCGCTATCCAGTCTCGATGTTCGTGTTTCTCGCTCGCCATCACTCTGCGTTAAGTCATTCGATATTCTCATTTTGGACTGGCCGTAACCAAGATCCATGTCCCATTTAATGCCTCACGGCACCAAGCCGTGTTCTCCACGATGTGTACCACTCCCACCTAGACGCCAACGCCAGTTCTTACACCCATATCCCAACCACCGTTGTAGCACGGAGCCAGACCCTCTCCCCAATCAAGCCTGCCCGTTGCCATTCCATGCATGTGCGCCACCGTCCCACCTCCCAATAACTTTTGTAGATCTACTCATACACAAATCAGACCCAAATCAAACCTGCCGCCCAACCAAGCCCTCAACGCCCATCAATAGCCCACAAATCATCGTCCCTACTCGCCTGTGGCGCTCCCTCCTATGACCGCCTGCAGCGCTGCTTCTTTCGGCCTCAACCCTAATGCTCGCTGCGCTCGCGGGGCCACCGCCTCCCTCGCCCGCCCACGCGCCGCAGGCGCTCCCTATGGAGTGCTCGCTACGCTCGCCTTTGCCCTGAGCCACACCGTGTGGTGGTGAGTCGGTGGCCGCTTCGCGACCACCTCCTCCCCCACCCACCGTCCCCCACCATCACAGATACCGCTTCATCTTAACATCCCGCCCACCCGGATTCCCATGATTATGACAGTCCGCACACAGATACATCCGACATTCCTCACATCTCCAAATCAGCAAGGTCCGCGCATGGCACCGGTCACAGTGCCAGTAGACCTGGTTCGTGTTGTTGTGCTTGAGGAGGCCCCAGCGGTGGGAGGGGCATTTGCGGCCTTCCTGTTGAGGGAGTGAGGTGTTAGCTGCGGGTCGTGGGGGAGGTAGGGGGGTGAGCTCGGCGCTGAGGGGACGACGGGTGGGGGAGGTGGCCGCAGCGAGCTCTTGGCTGAGGCCGCGAGGCCGGAAGCAGCGCCGCAGGCAAGTAACGTAGGGACGGATCGGAACGAAAGACGTGCTCGTGGACAGGCGATGCGATCAAGTAGTGAAACGTGATGGGCGGCGTAGGCGGGTCGGAAGAGAATCCGTGGAACAAGCAGCAAGACAGAGAAGGACGTGCAAGGAGTTACAGCCAAAGCTGTGTGCGGCTAATGGACACATTACAGAACGATGCTGGGTTGAAAACACGCCCTTAACAAGAAAGAAGTACATACATGTGGGAATCTGCGCGGCTGCTGTGCCATATCGGGAGAGAGTCGTGCCGCCCCGGCTCAACTGGTTGGATGTGATGGGTGATGAGATCGTGCTTGGGTGGCCTTTTGAACCTTCTCGAGTCTTTTATGAACAGCGAGCGACAGTGTTCTTCCGAAGGGGCGAGTCGAGAATGGTAAGTGGTTGCGGATCGGTAGCGATCGTGTGAGGCGATGCGAGCAATGGCTGAGACACTCAAGACATGCACTCTCTGCGCCACAAGGCAGATCACTTGTGCCTGAATGGTGACGTGTGGCCAGAGATTGATCTCAGAGTTGATTCAGACGAGTGACTGGCGTTGTTGCCGGACCCGAGATAGCTTGATAATGTCGACCGATGTGATCAGGTCGATCCTGGAGAGGAACAGAGCTCGAGTGACCTCGAGGTCGGCACTTGGTGAGTATGGAATACCTGCCAAGGTGCCGTGGACGTCGAGGAGGTCCCTCGTCGACCTGGAGTACCTCCCAGCGACGGGAGATAGTGTTGAAGAATGCCCTGAAGTCGAAGTACCCCCACGATCCAGCCGGTCGAGATTGAGTTTGATGAACTTTTGATGACTGCAAGATAGAGTTCAGCTTCACCTTTCCGAGTCGACGGGAAGGCGAGGTTAATATACACCGCTCCTTCTTCAGTCTTCCTTCTTCTTAACCGGTTGTCGTTGCCGTAAGCATGCTCACCGACCCGCGTCTCAGGGGATGCCCATCAGAGAGGTGTCTACAGAGACTTCATATGCTTCACTTGGCCCCAAAGTCCTTCAATCGGAGTCGAATCCGTTTGGGTTGGGCGAGTGCTCAGAACAGTTGAGTTTCTGTCAGATGTGCACGGACATGTAATTGAAAGGAGGCGCTTTCCAATTGCACTGATGTGGAGGAAGGAGTACTGCAAGTGGAAGGAGGTATCCAGGATGTCGCAATTGCTGCTGGCAGGAAGTATGCGAGAGAATGAAAGACATCGTGCCTTAGGCCAAAGGGCATAGACAAGCGCTCACCCACTCACTCATCACTCAGTACGTACTTAGTACAATTCTTGGGAACTTACGCGGCAATTATTCCAAAGCCGTCATAAGCCCCAAGATGTCAGAGCCTCAGGATCTGGGATGTCACGATGTCAGTAAGATCTGGCATGACCCGAAATTCGGGTTCTTCCAATCTGGGCTGAATGCAGGGATTGCGGGACTGCATCTCGCATGGATCGCGTGCTGGGTCCATGTTTCAAGCTAGAATCTAGTACTGAAGAGTCTTCGCCCGCGCGTGGAATTCCGGAAGGCGCGAGTCGATGCCATGAGGTCTGACTCGACTGTGAATGTTGCTTTTGTGCTGCTTAAGACAGTCGTGAAGTAGTTGGGTCGATGCGCAAGGTTGGCTCAAGGCGAGGCAACGATGGGTCAAGCGGAGAAGATCGGATGATCGCCCATCAGACAGCCCACGTCCGGGGTGTGGAAACTGAATCTTTGGCAGTACTGAAATACCCCCTGTCAGCACGTCCACGTCCGAAGAATCGGGGCCGTGAAATCGGAGGCAGGAAGTGCTCGAGTCAGACCTTGCTGAACGATCGGAAGTACATACAGTGCCAAAGCAGCAGCACAGCCACTTGCACCCCATTTGGGTCGGAGGAGTCGAACGTTGCAATAAAGTTGGAACAACCCTGCCTGCACACCTCCGGGGATTTTGGTGAGAATGGCTCAAATGGCTGACCTGCAGCAACCGGGGTGCAATTAGTCGAACGTTTCTGTACTGATCGATCACGGCTCGCTTCTAATAGCTGTCACGCTTCACGATTGCTACTTCCACAAGAATGAGGCAAATCGGGCAAATCGCAGAGAGCGTCGTCGACAAAGGTACATCGGTAGGGGATACGCCTTAATGAAAAAGCTGCGAACAGCAGGTACACCACTCTTTCTGCACTGCAATATCTGTGCCCTTCATGCAGAGCACATTGTAGCTAGACGCTATACTCTCAGTCATGTAGCTGAAAACGAGTCAAGTGGAGGACTTTTTGCCTGGGAAACAAGTTCTGCATTTGTCAAGATCTGGTGCCTTGTTCCCTTGCTCGTGGCCTACGCAGCTTCGTGCAGCAGACCCTTGCAGGTTCATGCAGTCCCAATTCGTCGAGATGCATTAGATTCAAATCGATCGTGGATCTGCCACGCACAGACATATCTTCCGATCTGGCCCATTTCCGTCGTCCACAAATCAGACGGAGCTAATCCCGGTGTCTGAAACAGGCTGCAAGCGACGTTGTCGTGGCCGGCAGTGTTGAATCCGGCAGATATCGACTGCCGTTGCCTATCTTGCAATGGGTTGCGTCCGTACTGTAGAAGCTGCGGAGAACACTCGAGAACATGAGGCACGGCGGCCCGTGGAGACGAACCCCAAGTAACACAGAGACCGATCGATCTGCGATTGGCTTTCGGTGCGACATCGCCTCCCAGTGCATGGCTGGCCGCCCAGGTACGTATAGTTGGCAGGTAGTGAGCCTCACGATAGCCCTTACTGCATTGACAGCGGCAGCCTCAGCTCTTTTAGCCGGCTTTTCATGTGCTGTGAACCAGAAAATCCGAAATTGAGAGCAAATGTGTCAATTGCGGCTTGCATCATGCACGAACTTGACAGTTCGATCCCCTCAGTCGACCCGGTGCGCCTCGCGCACTTTACGAACCCGCCGAATCTGCAGGCACGTGAAGTCCTTTCATGCGAGTACGGATGAAACGCCAACGGCTATGCAGATCATAATGCACGTCAATCTGCCGAAAACAGTCCCGACACAGTTTCTGTTGTATTTGTCAGTAACAGGCAATATCATCCCAATTGACAAGCTCACCTCCGTGATGATTTCTCCGGATTGCTTCGGACAGCAAATTGGATAGGTCGATCACAATTAGCTTCTTCGATGATTGCAATCTCTCAGTCGACATTGGGAAAGTGTTAGTCACAACGATATGGTCAATGCAGTCACAGTCTTCGAGTTCTTGGAGAGCCTCATCATCGAACAAAGCATGTATCGCGACGCAATAGACCTTCTTGGCGTGGCCTCGTTTCACGCAAGTTTCTGCAGCCGCAACCCAGGATGCCGTCCTGTCCATAATGTCGTCCATAATGATGGCGGTGCGGTCCTTGACGCTTCCGACCAATGTGACTGTGTGTTCGAGGGTGGGGTTTCGGATCTCTTCTTCCTCCTCGTCGGAAGTCGCCGCAGCGTCCAAAGTCCCGCCTAGCGCATGGTCGGCTTGCAGGGAAGAAGCTGTCGATATGAACGACGCAGTCATGTTGTCGGTGTCGTGATCGTCCGAATTTCTGCTCAATCCGAATTGTGCAGATAGTGCAGGTGACGGATGATCATCGTCAACCACATGCCCCGATATCAGTCTCGAAATGATGACATCTCTAGCCTTCTCGTCACCCAAGGCGTCGTTGGCTTCGTATTCGGAGGGCCGTCGGGCGCTAGGCATCGTTTCGGCCCTACTGAGGCCTGCGCCGAGAAGGGAATCATCCTCGGGACCTGAATCCGTGTCCGCTTGTGGCGCAGTCGATATTTGCGGCTCTGATGAGATGGTGACCGCCTTTGGTCGCAATGAACTGCCATTCAGCTGTCTACTCTTCCTAGACGGGGTACGATCTGCTTCTGTATCTGCATCGTCCGGGTCGCTGTTCTGCCTTTCGAATGTGCGTAACGATGCTGGCTCCACCGCGTCGAAGAAGACCGACGAATCAGCCATGCTGAGGTTGCTGGGGTACGTCGACCTCCGGCGATCCCGATCGGTTGAGACAATGGCGAATCTAACCTTCAAGGCATCTGCCAGGGAAGTGACCCGCTTGGTCCCACCAACGTTCTTACTGACTACCACCACATCTCTCCAGCCTCTGACATTTGCTCGTATCCATCTCGCAATCAGCGGCTCGGCGAAGAGATTGTCGACCGGTTTCCCGAAAAAGCCTTGCATCTGAGATGAATGTAGGTCGACAGTAATGACATGATTGACTCCTGCGACGACCATCAAATTCGCAACCATTTTGGCAGTGATAGCACCTCGATGAGCTTTCTTCTTTGACTGCCGTGAGTAGGGAAAGTATGGAAGCACGGCCGTGATTGACTTGGCGGAACCACCTTTGCAGGCGTTGATCATGATTAGCATCTCCATGACGCTGTCGTTGATGCGTGAGCTACCGCTCTGGACGATGAAGACATCCTCGTTTCGTATTGATGTGCCTATCTGTACCCTGATTTCGCCGTTGGCGAAGTGGCCTAAGTCGCATGGCGATGGTGTGGTGCCTAGGCGTTGGCAGATGGCTTCTGCAAGGGCTGGGTGGGAGGTTCCTGAGAATACCTTCACGCCTCGCATATCGACTGACGAGAACGGACGATCACGCTCGACGTCACTGCTATGACGTCCAAGAAGTCGCGCGCACGCAGTGTGAATCGTGCTCTAATTACAGTAGGCGTGTTCGTCGTCGATCATCGAAAGTTCGTGTGAAGGTCGGGTACTCTTTCCCGACCCGTCAAATCTTTCGTGCAGGTGCAGGAGTCGGCTTCGGAGAAACTTTGCGGCGGATCTTATCGCGTCTTATCGCGCCTGAATCGATTTCATCATCGCCGCTGCATTTCCTCGGTCTGTGCAACATAATTTAGAAACCTTCATGGCTGATCCTGCGTCCTTAGGCACGCGATGCCTGACGAATTCCCACAAGTTCAAGGCGGAGGCTCCTTGATCGTCGCATGGCAGATCAAGAACAAGAATGTACTGGTCGTCGGCGGCGGCGAGGTAGCTGCTGGCCGGATACTCTCCCTTCTCAACGCCGATGCGCGCGTCACAGTCGTTTGCCCTTCCGCAGGGTTGAATGCCGAAGTTCGCTATCGCGTCAGTCAACGACAAGTTACGCACATCGATCGCGTCTTCCTACCACTGGACGTCGAGCCGACGAAGAATGTCGCGATGGTGCTCACCGCAATCGATGACCCCATTGCTTCCACGCGAATATGGAAGTACTGCAAGAAGCTCAAGATACCCGCCAACATCGCCGATGTACCACCTGAGTGTGACTTCTACTTCGGCAGCGTCCATCGCGACGGTCCACTGCAGATCATGGTCAGCACAAATGGAAACGGACCACGAATTGCAGCAGCAATCAGAAGACGAATCGCAGACATGCTGCCGCAAGGCACGGGTGCTAGCATTGCCAAAGTGGGCCTGCTAAGGAGGAAGTTGAGGAAGAAGGTACCAGGCACCGGAACAGAAGATATCCAGAGGAGGATGGCCTGGATGAGCCGGGTATGCGACGACTGGGAAGCAGACGATCTGGGCGAGCTGGACGATGAGGATATGGCGGAATTGGTTAGTCACTTTGAGACGAGCAGCGTGCCGAGTTTTGAGGACATTCGGCTCAAGAGCTGGGAGAAGCGCAAGGCTGGTGTTGTGTGGGACTGGGATGGAAGTCCTGGATTTGCTATCTAGGAACACAGCCTGTGCAGGTTTGTTGAGCAGTCTCGGCTCCGACCTCGTGTGAGGCATCGGCGCTAGGTGCAAGGGATGCCTTTCCTCATATCCGATCATCAAAAGCCAGGTCCTGCGTCTCGACAACTTCCAAATCGAACGGCCTCGTGTTGTGCTCAACATTGCATCACAGATACTGCGACTTCGCGCTCGTCCAGTCGTGCACTGCGAGCTTTGTTTCTATATCCTGGCCCGTCCACGAAATGGAAGAAGAGTCTCTTGTCGGTTGCTCCTTCCACGATCAACGCAATGCGCTGCTCGTGATAGTGTTCGTATAGCTTCGAAACTTCGTTGATGCTCAAACATCCGACACCAGATGCATTGGCTTCAGACAGCAGTATGCCTGATCTCAAGAATGGTGTCAAACACGAATAGCGCCTGAGTGAAAGGAATCTTGTAAAGGCAAGAAATGTGTGCTCGTTCTACTGACGACCTGTGCGAAGCTAGGCTGAAGCACGCCATTAATTCGAGTTTACCCTTTCCCATCCCAACAGAATCGCCAATATGGAAACGCCTGTTGCAGCTCATCACAGTCATCAATCGAATCAGACAGACTTCACCGCGCCATCTCCTGCTGTCCCCTTGTCTCACCTACATCCTGCTCCGTCTTGAAGACCACCGCCATTGCCTGGTCGAGTATATCCAGCCCCCGATTAATCTCTTCCGCACTGATGACCAGCGGCGGGACGATGCGGAGAACGCCGTCCCCTGCGTGATGATCAACAATCCTCGCTCTCGCGCTGCTGTGACGACTTCACTAGCTTTGGCTTTCGCCGAGTCAGTCAGCTGGTAGCCAACTATCAAGCCACGACCACGGACTTCGGAGAGGACGTCGGGGTATTTCAGCTTCATGGTCTCGAACGCGCTCAGGAACAGTGTGCTCTTGATCCTGACTTCTTCTTGTAGGGCTGGGTCGCTCAGGCGCGTGAAGATATGGTGGGCGACTCTGCAAGCGAGCGGGTTGCCGCCGAAGGTGGTTCCGTGGTCGCCGGTCTTGATGTGGGGGGCCACGGTTGTGCCGTGGACCAGGGTAGCGCCGATGGGGATGCCGTTGCCGAGTGCTTTCGCTGTGGTGAGGATGTCTGGCTGCACGCCGGAAGCGGTGTGTGCCCATAGGTCGCCGGTGCGGGAGAGACCGCATTGGATCTCGTCAAAGATGAGGACTGCGTTTACCTCATCGCAGCGTTTGCGGAGAGCTTGGAGGAACTCTGGAGTGGCGACGTTGATGCCACCTTCGCCTTGGATGGGCTCGATGATCACGCCAGCGGTGTCCCTTGTGATGAGTGAATCGAGAGCGGACGTGTCGTTGAAGGTTCCGTAGCGGAAGCCCGGGAGCATAGGCCGAAAGGTGCTTGGTATTTGGTGTTGGGAGTGGCGGAGAGGCTACCGTAGGTGCGTCCATGGAAGGAGCCGTGGAAGCTGACGATTTCCCGTTGAGTGCTGTTGGGATCTCTGGCGTAGGCGACTTTCCGGGCGAATTTGAGGCTGCTTCGTTGGCTTCGCTGCCGGAGTTGGAGATGAAGACTTGGGTGAGTTGGGATGATGTGGGCGACTGTTTGGCTGTCTCTTCGACTAGCAGCTTGGACAGTGTGGGCGTCCATGGGTTGTGATAGAGGTTGGAGGCATGTATGAGGGTATTGGCTTGGTTCTCTATAATTCGTGTGAGGGCAGGGTCGGCGTGGCCCAGGCTGTTGACTGCTATTCCTGCTGTGAAGTCGAGATAGGCATGGTTCTCATTGTCGTAAAGTGTGCAGCCACTTCCACTGACCATCATTGGCGGCGGTCGGACGTAGGTGGGGACCATGTACGGTGTGCTCTGGTTGAGGAAGGCCGAGGTGGGGGAGTCGGGTGCTGGGTCGGGGTTGGGTACAGTCTTCTCATGTTGTATCTGCGGTGAGTGTGCAGAGGGAATGGATGAGGAGGTAGGTACTGCGGCTGCGACGGCATACTGTCGTATCGAGCGTGGTGGGAAGGTGGTGGTCTGGGAGCGGGCTGCTCGGGCGAGCACTCGGCTGGCGACGTGCCTGGACATTGTGGTGGGGAGGAAAGTCGCTTGGAGGAAGGTGCTACCTGGGGATCATGTCTCACGAACTGGTCCGGAAGAGACGTCGAGGAGTTGGATGCAGTGTAAGTCAAGGGCGCAAGCGTGAAAAATATCCTCGCGCAATTGTGAGTCGTCCTATGCAAGCAACGCCATCGAGAAAAATGATTATCGATAAGCGATGTCGGTAATGCCCGGCTGTCAAAAATTTGCTGGACGCGACAATCCGACGCGACTCTTCCAAGGTTCCTATTCTACATCATCCAATGCCCGACACTGCCTCAGTCGGGAAAGACCTTACATTCAAGGAATCGAGCGGAACTTATCAACTGGGTCTCATGTGATCTCAGAAAGTGCTCTGAATATTTTAACCAAGGATTTCAACCACCGACGCCATGTTCATATTGATATCTAAGTAAGTTGTGATATCACATCACCCGTCATCAGCAACAAGATGGGACTTCTTTAGTTGTGATCTGGGGCAAGATCCTCTGTTTCGGACTTATGACCTCCACCGCAGTCTTACCCGCCAGTTGCTTCGCTATCCTCCGTTCTGCCATAGTGACTGCCACGTCGAAAGCATTCTGTGTACTTGTGACTGAGGCAAGATTCTTGCCAGCAATGTCAAAGGCCGTGCCGTGCGCAGGCGTTGCGATTGGAATCGGGAGGCCACCTTGTACTGTCACTCCTCCGTCGAAAGAGAGAAGCTTCAGTGCTATCTGGCCTTGGTCGTGGTACATTGTGACGATACCATCGTAATGTGCGCGCTTAAGGAATATGGTATCGCAAGGAAAGGGTCCCTCGACGTCGATCCCCTTTTCTCGCGCAGCAAGAACCGCAGGACGAATATGATCGATTTCCTGTCGACCAAAGCTGCCATTCTCCCCGTTGTGGGGATTCAAGGCACAGACTGCGAGTCGTGGGTACTCGATTCCGGATTCCCATCTTAATTGTTGAAGCAACTCGATGGCCTTGAGCGTTGATTCTTTGCTGACTCTTGCAGCCACCTCCTCAATGCCGATATGGCTGGTGACACGTGCAGTCCATAGAGGCCCAGCAATGTTGATCTCGCTTGTCGTGCCGCTGTACTGCAGCTGGTTGGCGAACCATCGCAACTCATCTTCCTCAGTCATGCCAGCCTTCTTCAAAGAACTCTTGTTGAGAGGGGCAAACACAATGGCATCGATCTCGCCGGCCTCGACCATTCTCAGAGCCCGCTTCAGCTGATATATACAACGTGCACCTCCATCCTGGGAGACTTCCGCGCGGACGACAGAAACCTGGCTAGCGCTGTTGTCATCGTGGATCTTGACGCCGTTTGGGCTCGCCGTGTCTGAGATGGGAACATGGACATTCCCGGCATCAGCGATAGCCGACTCCCATTCTGAATTGTCCGCAAGGACGTGGATGTCGGCTTTCGCAAGATTCTTCTGATTGCTCAACAACTTCGCAGCAAGCTCCGGACCGACGCCCGCTGGGTCGCCTAGTATCACAGCCACACGAGGGCGTATGGGTTGAACAGAACGGGCCATTTTCGTAAGGTTGTTGGTGATCTTGATGGTCTTTCCGCCTTTGCTTTGTTGCGAGCGAAGAAAGTGTCGTTCTGGTCAACGTTGGAACTTCGTTTCAAGAATATACTTGTGGTCAATCGGTCCCCGAGGTTCCCCGTTGCATAACGACCATAACGGCGAACCACCGAGTCGACATCGGCACCTTTGCGAGGACACTTGAGGACTCCGCTTTACTACTGGTCAACTCGGCGAAAGTGCCGACCGTAAAATGCGCTAGCATTTCCCCAACTCTGGGCAAAGGTTGTGGCAGCTTCTACCAGAACTCAATCTCTGGGACACATCCCGCTTTTTTGGTCCCTGCCCGCTATTCCCTCGGCATGGCTCTCGGGCCACGAACTAACAATCTCTTCGTGGGGATCCCACCCTCTTTCTGGAGAATAGCACATGATCGCGGCACGCAGCTCAACACCGCGTCCGACAAAATCCTCCGTATTCGGCGGAATCGCCGCCCCCATGGGGCAACTTGAACGCGGGCAAGCATGAAGTTATAGTCGCTTCTACAACATACATAACCCGTGAGCCAGGACGACTTTCAACGACCCAACCCATGCGTTGCAATCCGCTCGTGTTGGGCTTTATATTTGACCAGACTGAGTGAACACTTCATCATGGCTCACATCACGGAGGCCAAAACTCTTCCAGTGGATGCTCACCTGGAGAAGGTTGCCCAGGCTGTCTCTGTCAGATCCACCGACGACTTGGACGGGAAACCAAACGACGACTTTGACCAGGCTCGTCAGCTCCGCGAGCAATGGGTCGACAACACCAAGGAAGAACAGAAGCTCCTTCGCAAGCTTGACTGGCGCATTCTGCCATGTACCTGGACCTTGTATCTATTGGGCTTCCTTGATCGCGCAAATGTCGGGTAAGTCTACCATAATCACATGCTTTCGAGACATCGCTGACCTTCCTTGAACAGAAACGCCAAAACCGGTGGTCTCGAAGACGATTTCGGTCTTACGTCGTCCCAGTACTCCATCATCGTACTGGTTTTCTTCATCTCCTACCTTGTATGCGAAGTGCCAGCAAACATGATCCTCACCCGGGTACGACCGTCGGTCTTTCTCCCTGGCCTCGGCGTCATCTGGGGCACCTTTGCTGCTCTCATGGGTGCTACACAGAACTGGAGTCAATTGGCCGGCCTGCGGTTCCTTTTGGGCGTTGCAGAAGCCGGCTTTGCACCTGGCTGTGCTTTCTATCTGTCTTGCTGGTATAGGAGATACGAGCTCTCGACGCGTTTCGCGCTGCTCTATACATCTGTGCCGATTGCGGGCGCTGTATCGGGGCTGCTTGCAGGACTGATCACGGACTACATGGACGGGACCGCTGGCCTCGCCGGTTGGAGGTGGCTTTTTGTGCGTACCTCATTCTGCTGCTGTTGTCTTGATACTGATCCGTCCTCCAGATTCTTGAGGGCGTTGCATCAGTCGTTGCCGCAATCGTCATTTACTTCTTCCTGCCCGACTATCCCTCAACCAGCAAGAGATTCCTGAACGAGGAGGAACAGATCCTGGCATGTAACAGACTCGCTGTCGACGGCATCGCATTGGCTCAGGGCGCTGGCGCTGAGAACATACCTCATTGGACTGCCTTCAAGATGACCGTCACCGACTGGAGAGTCTGGGCGCAATGCTTCCTCTTCGTGCTTGTCACTGGATCCCAGACCATGCAATACTTCATCCCCACCTTGGTCGGAAGCTTTGGCTGGACTGGTCACATTGGGCAATGTGAGTGCTTTCCAGTAAATGATTTATATAACTAACACTGTGACAGACCACACTATCCCCGCTTACATGGCGGCTTTGGTCTACGTTGTCCTGTGTTCCTGGCTCGCCGACCGGTACAAGACAAAGTGGCCATTCATCTGTGGCCTGTCTGGCATTGGCTGCGTCTTGTTCATCGCGGTCACGACTTCGTCCAACAAGATGGTTCAATACGTGCTTACAATCTTCGCGTTCGGCACCATCTACGGCTGCTCACCACTCGTCAAGACATGGGTATCAGACGTCATTCCCCAGCCTGCTGCGAAGAGAGCCATCGCAATCGCATTGATCAACTCGATCGGTAACGCGTCGTCGATCTATTCAACATGGCTGTGGCCGAAGAAGGATGCGCCACGGTACATCCCTGGTTTCGCAACAACGACTACCTGGTTGGGTATTCTCTGCGTTGCCACTTATCTTTTCTCGAGACTCTTCAAGAAGTATCCAGTCGAGCGACAGGACCATGCTGAGACTATGGCAGCAGAACTGAGGGCGCGGAGAGAAGCGCAAGAGGGAACTGCCAAAGTCTAGAGCAGTGCCCATGCGTCCAGGAAACGATTGGAGGAAAGATGGATGGAGGGTTGATTTGGCTGTTGAGCTGCGATGGGCAGCATTGATCCATACACTTACTGCTTTGAGCAATGGAACTTGACGGCGTCAAGATAGTGTTAAATCGACGGTTCTAGGAAAACAGCTGGAGACGCCATAGCCACTTGACGTTCTCAAAATACTGGCAAGAACCGTAGCATTGAACAAAGACTGTCCAAGAAGCTTCCAGTCGAACTAGCTGCCCATGCTTCATGCTTTGCCACGTCCTTGATCTGCCTTAGTTTTCGAATCTCGAAGCAACACGTCGGTCATGGCCGGGCAACTCCCGGTCACACGATGGGATTAACCCTTTACTCCACAAACCCATCCTCGGCGGTTTCCCCGCGCTCGTGCCTGCTTCTCCCCACTTCGAAGCATTCCGCCGATGGTCGCCAAAATGCCGTTCTGTGCATCATCTCGCTACCACTACTCACCGAAAACCGGGCTCCATAGCGTAGGAGCCGAATGTCGGGCTCTGCATAGATGACCAGCAACAAAAGGCCACGTATCGAGGATGACCAGCTTCAGCAAGCAGCGACTGCTAACGCTGCGAAGCCCAGGTTGACTCGAGCTTGTAAGATCTTGGACCCGTGACTACCTAGCATGAACACCAGCTGATAAAGCACCTCAATAGGTGCCGAGTGCAAGCGGCACAAGATCAAGTGCGAGGTTCAGCCAGGGCAGACATCATGTAACAAATGTCTCAAAGGAGGCATCGAATGCGTTCCATACAATTTCACACAGAAATTCGTCGATGAAGATGCGAGGTAATGACAGTGTTGCTCATCGTTATATCTACTTTCAGCTGACGATTTTCTAGTTGGAAATGCCAGGCCACAACAGAGCTTGCGCAGCTCAGAAGCGCAATCCAGCAATTGCTACGACACAACAACCTATCAGAGCTGCCAGAGCTCGACGACAGGCTGACGCCGGTACGCACCTCGAACACCATCAACGAGGTCTCCCCAGGCAACTTCCTGTCGGAAGGCCCATTGGTGGGGATCGACAAGGACTCTGAATTGATACCTGTACCAATGAACAACCTCTACAGCTTGACAGAGCCCGGTCACTCTCACCTCATTCGCGTGGATCCAGCGGACATCAATGGCCCAGACTTTATCACAAAAGGCATTGTCACCATCGCCGAGGCAGAATACCTCTTCGCCTACTACCGCGACCGTATCAATCCCCTCCTATGGGACGGAATACTATGTCCTCATTCCACCTTACAAGAAGCACGACGAGCATCGACTTTGCTGGTAGCAACTACGCTTACAGTTGCGGCTCTGCATACCTCAGGAAGAGAGAAGATCCTGCACAGCGTCTACGACGCCTTCGTCGCGCTTATGCGAGGGTCATGTCTGCTACGCAGTCAGAGTCTTGACGACATTCGAGGCCTGTGCATAGGAGCATTCTACCTGACCAGCCTCAGCTGGGCACTATGCAGTCGAGCAGTCCGTGTCGCGACCGAGATGGACCTCCACAAATCCTCCATGCAGCTTTCTAGGGGATCTCCCGAAGTCTACGAGCGTGTCCGTCTCTGGTACGTGCTGTACGTGTGCGACCACCAATTCGCATTAGCCTACGGCCGGCCTCCCATGATGCACGACGACGCTGCAATCAGAAACGTCGATAAGTTCTTGTCCAACAACCAGTCTACGAACGGTGATCGCAGGCTGATTGCCCAAGTCAACATCTTCCGCATCCTGGCTGACGTATGGTTCATGTACGGCTGCGACGCCGACCTCGAGCTGGACGAAAAAGACTTCCAGCGCCTGCGCTCATTCAACGTGTCCATCGACCAATGGCGCTCCGCACATCCATCGAAACCCTTGGACTTGCCCTACCGCCATGGCTACTTGTCAAAGGAGACAATTCTCTACTACCATTTTGCCAGATTCCACCTGAATTCACTATCCCTGCGAGGCATCTCAGCACACAACGCGCCCGAAAAAGTCTCGTACGCCGATCTGAGCTTCGACCGACGCGAAGCCGCGAACCTAGCCATCGAGGCAGCGCGAAGCACTCTGAAGCTAATCATCGAAGACCAAGAGCTTTGCGTGGCATTGATAGGAATGCCCATTTTCGCGCATGCAATGATCGCTGTCTGCGCATCGTTCCTGCTGAAGCTCGCGGTCGTGTTTGGGACCCCAATCACACAACGCCACTCGCATCTTGTTGGGCATCAGGTTGTCGTGCCACGAGATCTGACTGATCTGGGACTCACTTTCCACGCGGAAGACACATTGTCTCTGGTTCAGAACCTGATGCGAACACTGAGCTCCGTGGCGGACAAGGCGAGCCATCGGCACGTCTTGAGACATGTCGTGACGGGCCTGCGGGAAGCCGTACAGAAGTTCAATCGAGCTGAGGGAGACTACGACTATGTCTACTCAGGCGCAAGCGGAAGCAAGGGTGCACCGATCCATAACACCGATGGCTCAAATGGATACCTCCCCACGCCAACAACAGAACAATACCCCGGCAACTTTGCCACAGCCAACCAAAGAAATTCTCTTCAGACGCCTAATCCGAACCAAGCTGTTACAACGACTATGAGCTCGATTGAAAAACGCACAAACTTCGATCACGAGACGTTCACGCAAGACCCGTTCGATCTCACTGGCGATCTTGATTGGCGTCTCAACGACACCCTGCTCTGGGGAATGGAGGATGATCAACGGTACTGGCTGTGACGAGTTGAACCATGAGTCAACATATAGCTATGTCGTTGGGCAGTAGGAGTTCGCATGTGTGGATCGACAGTGACAGGACATGAGGACTTCTGCTTTTCCGGTAAGGACGCGTGGGTGAAAGAGCTTCGTGCAAGGTAAGCCAGTCCCAGATAGCAGCTCCATCTGAACACAAGCCAAGTGTATATATATCTATTGCCCGAAATTTTGCACCATCCAACATACAAACACATCGAGCGATTTCATCAGCATAGTGTAGCGGTCCAACACATCGAGAAAACTCAGCCCAAGTCAAGGCAGTAGCTGGCGCTCCCACACCGCGTCCGGGGCGGCCAACTTTGCTGTTAGGTTGTGAGGTTGATCTCGAAGACCACTGTTCGACTCAGGGTGCTGTCAATACTTTTTGCTTTTTTCGACTTCCAAGACTCTGTCCGGAGCTGGTGGTATGGTGCTTGATCGCAGACCGAAGGTGACTGCCTGACTATTATTCAGCTAGCTCTGGCAGCCCGAGAACTGACTGGACTCTTAGGCACAGCTGAACAGTGACTGAGCCTTGAGGCTGTGGTGTACATATCTTGGACAATAAAAAATTTGCACCATCATCCGGCGAACCACCCAACGTACTTTGACAGCATGGTCCAATCGGTCAGGACGTCGAGAACACAGTCAGCCACGCAAGTGGTACTAACGTCTCATGACTACCTCGGTAGTTGATGAGTGCCCGCTTCGGTGGGAGGTTCTGTGGCGGAATGCCTCTCGAAGATCCCAGTTCGAGTCTGGGTGCTGCTGATATCTCTTTTGCCTTTTGCGTTTCCAGGGTCGGCGCCAGTGGCGGTAGTGTGAACTGTGATCGCAGTATCGCGGTGACTCGAGGGATGTCACTAAGTGGGCTCGAATATACTCAGAAGTACCAAGACCTCCGGTCACAGCTCAGCAGCAACTGAGCCATGGGGATGTAGTGTATATGTATTTGGTCCCATGAATCTTGCACCATCAAACGCACCAATGGTGCCGCTCTTCCAGACTTTGGCAGCATAGTCCAACCGGTTCAGGACGTCGAGAATGTAACCAGCCAGTGTACGATGTACACTTTTCCGACTCATGTCGGAACATTAGCACACTCATGTGTGCGTAACGGCGGTATGATTGCTTGGATTGAAGATCCCAGTTCGAGTCTGGGTGTTGTCGATATCCTTTTTGCTTTTTTGGGTGCGGATGGCTTTGGTATGAGGGCGGAGGGTCGAGTCCGCGCCTGTGTGAGGTCGGACCATGAGCTGAATGTGAATGAAGTTCAACAGAAAGTTGACTGAGATGTCTGTGAGACTGACACATGGTGAGAGAAGAACAGTGTCTTCCGATACTTGGCTGGGGCTAGCATGATGGGCCGGGTGGGACGTCCATGCTAGTTGTGCTGTACATCGCATGTTATCACCAAAAGATGGATTCAAAGCAACTTCGTCGAGGCTGCAGATCTTGGAAGCCTCGGAGCAGATCAACCCACCGTTCTTCCAGAAGAGCAGTATCCAAGCCCACCACGGCCGGCTCTCAAAGCCTTGTACACCAATCCCTTCCCCTCCCAACCTGCCACCGACACAACCACACCTCCACCCCCATACTAATAAACCCCGCAATACAAATTCCACCCGAATCACTCACAGTCGTCGCACTCAGACTAAACTCCCGCTCATCCCTCGGCACCGTATCACTAATCTCCGCAAACGTATTGACATACACCAGCCCGCCCAGCAGACCCTCCCAGAACACAATCGCAAACACAATCCAGACGCTCGGAATAAAGTCGAACATGGCGTGCGCGAACAGCACTGCTAGATTGATACACTGCAGGAAACACGGCGGGTAGAGCTTGTGTATCCGGAAAAATGGCGTCGAGGAGCGCGAAATGAAGACGCCGGTCTGGTAGAGGAAGTTATAGGTTGGGTAGAAGGCGCGGTATTCGTTGAAGGGCGTTTGCGGGAGAGGAAAGAGGAGGGTGGGCGCGACGCCTTGGTTGATGGTGTACTCGGCGATGTAGACGAGGAGGAGGGGCAGCATGAATGGGAAGAAGAGGGAGCGGGCGCGGCGGAGGTTGCTGGTGAAGTGCTGCCATGTGGTCGACTTGGTTTCGGTGGGTGGGCTGAGGGGGTCGGTGGTTTCGGTGGGGGATAGGAGGCCTTGTCGCTGTTCGCTGTCGATGTCTTCGGAATCACGCCTTGACGGGGTCTGGCCTGATTTCTTGCCGGTCATCCTCTGCGTCTGCTGGAGCGGACCTCTTGGCAGGATGATGAAGAAGCTGATCAGCATGACCACCGGCAGGCACGCGCTGGCGAGGATCGTCGCCTTGACGCTGAAACCCAGCTTCGTCGTTGCCAACGCATACGCCCCAGCGCCGATCAGTCCTGCGCCACCAGTTCCACTGCCCCAAGCCGCAAGACTGAAAGGCCCGTAGTAGTGGACCAGACCCAAGAAGCTCAGCTCTCCGCCACCGCTGCTCAGACTGGCGAGTATCACACCTGCCAATTTTGTGCTTATCGTTCCACCATCGGTATAGCTAGGCGTCAAGCCGATCATGAGCATGCCGGTTGCTGAGAGGGCGACGAAGATGATGATGCGCGCGGAGTAAGGCACTGCCTGAATGAAGTAAGGCGCGCAGAGCTTTGTGACGAAGCTAGGGATCACATCTGCAAGTAAGACGACGCCTTTGGGAACGGACGGGCCGACGAGGTCGAGGGCTGCGGAGAGGATGATCACGTAGAGAACATTGTTGATTAGTCCTGGATAGATTGTCAGCAAAGACGATGCGGGAGCGGATGGACCAACGTACAGAATCACTTACCGAACAGCCAGAAAGCAACGCATACCCGTGGATCTGCGCCATTGAATGTCTGCTTGAAGCGCTCGGTGAAAGACGCCCATGATGTGCCTGGAGAGCCAGGCAGTGGGAGCGCCATTCTGCTATGGCGTGCCTCCAATGCTGCGTCAAGGGAGCTGGAATGGCATCTGCGCTGGTCTGCAATTCGGACACACCCCGTCTATGCCTGTATACTGTAGTAGCTGAAGCAATTCGTGGTCGTGTGACGTTGGTTTCGCAGGATAAGAGGGCAATCAATAGGTAGTTTTGCTATCAGAACCAAATGGCTTCGATGGGAAATGCTTGATTCGGCCCCACCAAGAATGTCTACTCGTGACATGGCTCGGCTTGAGCGTCCTACTCATTTCTTCCTCGTCTCCGAACACGGGCAGAGCACTGATGCTAGTGTGCTTGTCGAGGTTATATGCCAGTGTATACTTGGCTTGGAGTGCCAGGTAGCTACACGCGTGTCCACTACCATCGATCCTTTCGAAATAGAGCTTCTCGTTGGGCGGAATATAAATGCTCCAGCATCGTGAGAAGTTGAAGACACCGGCGTCAAAGATTACCATAAGACCATGTGATGATGCAGCGTGGCATGAAAGATGTAAGGAACTTGAATTCTCTAGCTTCGATAGCATGATGTTACTGCTATCAGGCGGACCAGGCTGCTTTGAGCAACACGGCCTATACAAAATCAATTTGATCGCAACACCAATGCTAGGGGTATTCACACATATCTCCAGTCCAACAAGCATCAGGAAGGGAAAAGTCGATCCCCATCCTAGCCTCAACGCCGAAGAAGTTACAGCTCCTCGCGTAGGCAACTGCCTGCGTCTCCCAAAAGTCGCCCCAAATTCATGATCTCATCACAGTTCGCGCCTCTGCTGGTGCTGCACTGTATCCGCGACGCTGATACTTCGATGTCATCTGTCCTGTTCTTCCTCTGCCCTCGACGTCTGCACGGACCGGACACCTACTTCTTCAAGACCGCTTCGTACAGCGAAATCGTAGCAGCGATTAACGAAGTCGTCAAAAGACTGCTGTAGCCGAACGGCAGGGCAGTATTGACCGTCTGGATCGTGGTCTTGCTGTAGGGCCCTACGCCTAGGGGTCCAGATGCGGCAAACACGAGGTACGAGATCAATGCCTTGGCGATATTGAAGACGACGAGATCGACCTGCGGCGCTGCCTCCTGAGCAGCGGTAGCACGACGAGTGGCGTATGAGTGGCTGGTGGACGTCCGAAGAGGATAGTTGAAGAAGTAGCCAACCAGCGTGGGTGCAATGACTGTAGTGAGGAGCCACAGAGTGATTGGAGCCCAGTAGTCGGGAGTGATAAGAGCAAACAGATCCGGGCTGGTGACTGGCATGACTTTGCCGAAGTACGGGATTGGCAGGCCGAAAGCTTTCCGCCACTCAACGAGTGCGAGGAAGAGACTTGCGAATTCATACGTAGCTGCCAACCCGTTGACAGCGAGAGGCGATGACAGATATGATCGAGCCAAGTCTGAGTACTCGGACAGGTGAGTCTTCTCAATGCCGTCGGCGACGTAAGTCGAAAGCTTGCGCGTATTGCGATCGAGGTAGTCTACCACAGCACTTGGCGAGGTCTCGAGATTGCCTGGCGAGGCGAGGATGCTAGATCGCCTGTTTGGAGCGATGGCGTTGACGAGGTCTTTGGCTGGCGTCTTGATCATGTCGAGAGCGCTGGAGCTGGGTCTGTTATAGTCAGTAAGGTACGCGTGAACATCGCGCTCTAGTGGATGATACTTACTCTTCGGCTGGCGCGACTGTCTTTCTTCTGCCCTTCTTGACAGCAGGCTCTTCGTCGCCGCTAGTCACACTCTCTCGCAGCTTCTCTGGCGCAGACTGGCGCTTGGGCGTCTTGGTAGGTGGGGAGAGGCGGTCAAGTATGTAGGTCAGGTTCTCGCTGTTGTTTGCGCGTGAGACAAGCGCGTTCTTGTTCGCGACAACGGCGGTTTGGACGTCTTCCTTGAGTTCGGTCACCTTTTTACTGGCATAGTCACTGTCGCATAAGAGTCAGCTTGCCGTTCGCATCACGCGCACAACACTGCGACTTACCCAACGGCGCCGACTTCTTCGTACAGGGCTTGCAGATCTCCCTTGCTAATGCCACGAGGGAACGTGACCGTCGACATTGTGTAGGGCGCGTGGGTTGTGGTGAACAAAACGGGTGGTTGAATGCGTTGATTCAGTGTATGCGACCGTGTTCGATGTACTTTGGATGTTATTCTGAGTACTCTGGGGCGATGTGTATACAGTCGCGATCGCAAGCAATGTGAGTTTGGGTGGCGGGTTGCGCTGGGAAGCGAAGTCGAGGTAGGAATGAGAATAGAGGGGGCTGGGAGGGCACCCGGAGCTGATGCTTGGGCCCTCTTGATCGTCGCCCAAGTTGGTGTAAACAAACGCCCAAAACAGAAAGGCGCGTACTGAGTGTGATCTCGATTAGGCGGCGTTCTTCAGCGCTGTCCGCTACTATTGATTTTGATTGGCTATAATGTTACGCTGGATGTGATTGTTCGATCAGCGATGGTGTTCGGCGGGTGTCGTCAGAAGTTGAGAGAGAAAGCCAAGGCAGTTGCGCATTCAGGTACAACTCGACGCTGCCACTTGGGAGAGGTCGCAGCTGCTGAGTTGGGGGAAGCTCGCCTCAGAAACGCTTGCCTTTCAGGCTTCTCCAACGTTCGAGCAGCAACCAGGCTGTGGACACAAGTGTTGAGCATTTCTCGTGACCAGGCCTGTAGGCTGCTCACCGTGCATTACATGCCGGGAGGGCAATGACGGCCTCTCAGTCTCTCTAGATTCAAGTCGATGGCTTGAGATGAGCCTCACTTGAGCATCAAAACAGTGGGAACGATGTGTCACGAAATCCCAGCCAGGGAGGGCGCTGTAGAGGTTCTCATGCAGCAAGCTGGCGAAAACGTCCGGCTCTTGCTCCTACAGCCTGGCAACCACGGTCGCGCCCATTGCAGCAGCGACTTGAACGGTGCACACGGTTGTGAACTACACGCAGGACGACGAGGCATTCAAAATATCGCTTCCGCCTCATCCTCTCATCCAGCACTCTACGCGGAATGATTCGTTTGTGGTATGATTTCTTAGGCAAGCAGACCACCACATACGATGTCAGGCAGCATCTGATGATCGACGGTGCATTGCGCCAAAATGTAAATGGAACACGACCCGCCCAAAAGTGACGCGCATCTCGAACTTGCGATGCTCGCCGTCCAAGTAATCCCTCAACGTGTTTACAACTTTTAGAACCACGTTACTCACCATCAGACCACCCATCGCCACACCGCTATTCTCGACGACATTCCTATTGTTGCTGCCTTTGTTCTCATTTGCCCCTCCGTCGTCATCGGTGCCAAGGCCAATTGGTCATGTGCCGCGGGTGGTTTGACGTCGGTGAATTGCAGTCCAAACTCCAACTACGAAGTACTCCCGATGTCTTTTTAAGCCGCATGTTTGCACCAACTATTCGTCGCCAACTGTAGCGCATTCATATGTTGCTCTCCTCCTAGGACAATCACTCATGAAGCCCGCCTGACTGAACATCTTTGCCTCCCTAGGCCGACTCACTTCGAGCATCTCGTCCTAAAGCGCAGACAACTCCACCGCAACGCATTCCCCGCCTCAGGCGCACTCTGTCTGGTTCCGGGACCCTCAACTTTCTGCCCACGATCACATATCTCAAGCCTATGGCTCCCCCAGACCTCAACTCACTACCTTCCTCAACCACCAGCATGGCGTCCTCCCCATCTCAGAACCGAACATTGTCCAACGTCGTTGCTTCCCCAGACCGACAGGAATCACCATCTCCAAGACTTGCAAGCACATCACTGGCCGCCGCAGCCTCCATCAACTTTGCTGATCGCTCACGACGCTCGTCCGGCAGTCTCGCTCGAGGTGGCTCTCCCAGACTTGGCCGGATGCACTCGGAGCGACGTCGGTCTCAGGTAGCCATGTCGCTATCCCTCAACGACCCCGCCATACCGTCGCCGGGCGAGCTCCCATCAAGCGACCGTCGTTCCAGTATTTCGAACTCATACACTTCCATGTCATCCTCCACGCTGGCCGGAAGACCGACCGTGGCTACGGGCGACCCCAACCACCATTCGAGAGCACCGTCTTTGGGCGACATTCACAACGAACTCGAACAAGAGCAAGAAGCACACGTCAATCGTATGCTGCATTTGATTAGAACTCAACAGTCACAGTTGGACGCAATGAGAGCCCAGCAGGCCGATCGACGATCCTCACATCCGAATAGCGCTCTGGCAGACGATTCCGAGACCGACGGCTCACGCTCTGCTTCAGTGTCGTTTCCATCGGTCCATCCAGCTATCCCAGCCGGTCAGGCTCCACGCATACCCTCGAGACACAACTCTTCAGCAACAAGATCTCCAGCACTGGCTGCGTATCTTCCCCACGAACCCTCAAGCAGTCATTCGGACTGGCCACCCTCACCACTCGAACACCCTCGTCGTAACAGCTTCCGAGACGAGTCTGCGTTCTACCAAGCCGAAACTGCGAACTTGACGAGAGAAAATCAAATGCTACGGATGCGCATACGAGACCTGGAGAAGCAATTAGCTGAAGCCAACACCTCACCTGCAAATACACCATCCACACCTAGCAATCTGGTCACATCACCACATTTGTAACGCGATCGGGATGGCATAGGCTAGGTGGGCTGGGAAACGGTGTACTATGTATCATTATTATCACTTCCGACAGAGGGCACCCGAACGGGCATTTAGCTGGAAACGCAGCTCGACCGGCAGGTCTGGTTATTATGTAGCCGCTGGGAGCAGGGCGGGCTTCGGAGGCCACAGCCCAAAATGCCGAGACTGCAGATACTAACTCACTTCTGCTTCTGCTTCCACCAAATTTCTCACTCTCTTGCAGATTGTGCGCCTGATCCTTCACCGTGGGCATCGTTCTCCAGACTCTCCAAAATTGACAGATGTCTTGATCTATGGCTAAGCTCTCAACGCCCACTCGAACGGCCACGTTTCAGCAGCCACCCGGATCACCAGCTCCGAAAGTGAGCTGACGACATTCTAATCCCCCTAAAGCAAGATGCCAGAACGATTCTCGCACCTCCAGGAATCCCAAAACCGCTTCACAAAACGTTCACACGTCTCGAACTGTCAGCCGAAGCTTGGCCCTGTCGCTTGGCCCAAGCCGCCCGTTGAGTGGCCAGCGTTTCAGCGCAACCGAAGTTCTCCCCCCTTGCCCGTTTTCGGTTTCTTGGCTTCGCTTGACCCGACTTCATACTTGCTCAGTCTCAAGTTTATCTATGTTCGCTTCTGCTGTCGTCACAGATTCGAGATTCCTGGGTCGATGCGGGACTCGTCTGCGTCAGCGTGCGCTGGTGGCGGGAGGTCGAGGCGAGATAGGTGAGTCGATTATGGTAGGGGTGTCCTTATGAGAGGTAACGTATAAATGCGCCCGAGCCGCTGCGTTGGCTATGGCGAGGTTTGTCTACGCCTAACACGACTTTCGCGCTCATTTAATTGCTTTGCATTGCTTTCCTACTCTGTTCGTCCCGAAGCTGGTCTTCGAATATTCCGCACACCAACCATCTTTGACGACGCCCTTCACAACCTCACTCCAATCACCCAGAACACAATCTCAACATGCTTACCTCAACCCTCATCTTCTCCCTGCTCGGGCTTACGCTCGCAACCCCAACCCTCCACCCTCTCCCGCTACACCGACGCCAAGACGCCAACCTCCAACCCTTCACCGGCGCCATCGGCGGCGAGGCCGCGACTCCCGTCGTCAACAGCGGCAACGCCGACCGCCCATTTCAGGTCGGGCAGGACACGTTCGTAAACATTGCGGCCGCGCTACAGCGGAGCTGCGATCAGCAGTTCAATCGGTGTGCGAACGCGGCGAACGGAGGTGGTGGGGGGAGTGTCGCAGCTTGTCAGACGCAGAAAGGTATGTCTTTCGTCGGAAAGAGCCTGTGACTCTGGTGAACAGTGTGGGATTGTGCTAATGGTGATGTAGATCAGTGCTCGGCTGCGGACGCAAGTGGTGGGGCTGCAACAGGTGGTGCTGCTGCTGGTGGGAATGCGAACGCCAATGCGGGTGCGGCGCAAAATAATGCTGCGGCTAATGGCACTGCGACTGCATGCAACAAGAAGAAGGTCAGGAAGTCGTTGAAGGTCTGACGAGTCGGCGTTGCCTACCTAGGTACCTTTATCCCAAAGGAAAGTCGACGGGTCCGCGATGCAGTGCCCCAAGGAACGAGCCCATGTTTATGGCTATAGTTCTCATTCAATGTACATTGATTCGAGATGGGACGGTCTGATGCGTTGTGATGATGACTCGTATATTGTATAGTGGAAGGGAAAAGCGCTGCTTTGAGGATATGCTTTGTCTAATCCTTACGAATCTGCTTGTAAGGACAGTGATTGTCAGGTAGAGAGAAGATGAAAGTCCGGCTGAGTTGATGACCGGCCCCGATCAAACATTCCAGCTCATTGAATGTTCGTACTCACGGCTCAAACACGACAAGCCTCCCAACGCCCCTCGTTTTTTCGGCAAAGTCCAGCGCCTCATCTGCCTCCTCGAGCTTGAAGCTCCTGACCACCTCACTCCCACCCGCCCTGCCAAGCTTCAAAACGCCAGACTCCGCCAACCTGATCAGCCCGTCAACGTCTTCGCGGCGGTACATGAACTGGCCTTTGATGGTGATATTCTTGATCATCAACGAGACGTATGGGACCGGTAGACTGCTGCCAACAACACCCATCAGTGCTGCACGGCCGCCTGGTCGTAGAGCGCTGAAGCAGCTGGCGAAATGAGTTGACTGTGCTGCTGAAGCGGGCGAGATGTCAAGGTACGCGTCGATGACCCCGAAGGACTGTAGCGTGGCGGTGTCCTTGTCAGCATCGCCCGTGATCTGCATGATGTCGACTTGTGGATACTGCTGCTGCAGCTCCTTCAGCGATTCAAGGTTGCGCCCAAGCGCAACGACTTGCGCACCCATAGCGAGCGCTACGCCTACTCCGGCGCCACTGTGTCCGCCTGTGGCCGGAGCAACCATGACTCTCTCGCCAGCCTGGAGCCAATGGCGCGAAAGCCTCCATACGTAACGAGCTGGAGCTGCATGAGAAGCAACTCCGGGATGTCGTAGCCCAACTTGCCACAGAGCACGTCTTCGTTCAAGGCGAAAACGTTCTCGAGAGGTGCTGCGGCAAACTCAGCAAAGCCTGCGTGGCGCCAACTGTCGGCCATGAAGCGCTTGGACTGGAGTGAAAAGCCATCCGACAGGCCCCAGAGGACTTGAACGTCGGGGTCATCGCGGCCACGGAAGAAGCAATCGACCAGGACGAGCTGGCCGATGGTCAACTTTGTCGCATCGGATCCGAGCTCTGGCCTAATGATCAGTACCTATGCACGTACCGGTAGCAGCGGATCATACCTGATACTCGGCCGATGACTTGCGTGCCGGGTGTGAAAGGTCTGGGAAAGCCAAACGGTGGGTGCTCAGAGATGTGGTGTTTGGCAGATGATTCGATGTTGACTGCTAGGACTTGGACAATGACGCTTCCCGTCGTAGCTTTGGGCTTTTCGACATCTCTCAGGGTAAGGCCTTGACCTGGACCATCGCATCTAAGTGCTTTCATGGTCGATGATTTGATGATGCTGCTGATGGAAAGGAAGGGTCATAGGATATGCAAGGCATTACAATGCTCTTATACTTACCTGATATACCTCTCGGACTTAGTACTTACCATAATCTCGTAAAGATATAGAGCAAAGGACGCCGGTGCCCAGCCCCGTACGATGTCGCGCTGCGGTCATGGTTCCAGCTATTGTAGTGAACTTGTGGGCTGGTTGGAATTCGACCGAGGCAGCGACGCGCCACTATCTCGGCCTCGCTGATGCTAACATCGCCTGTAGTCGTATGGCTGCCCCATTGTAGTTTAGGTGCACGTTCGACAGCATGACCCAGAATACGAAATGAGGTTAGGCAGAACAGACCGGGAAGTCACCACGCCCGGGAACGGCGACATATCAGTTCTGCTGATAAATGAGGCATCGTTAGGAACATGAACGCTGCAGCGCGACCTAAGTTTCCTCTGTATTACAGCTGCCCGCCTCAGCGGAACGTGTAGTGTGATCGAGCAGTGATGGTTGAGGCGGCAATCTCAGCGACACGAGGTCGTCAAGAGCGCGGAGGGACATGACTCGACATTCAGGCGTCCAGTCGTGCGCACGACTCGACAGTGGCGACCTGTGGGTCTTCGTCATTGACTTTGATGCAATGCTCAGACAGCCATTTCCTCATGCCGTATCCTACGCGAGTCTCGCATCTTACTCCGATCACGCAGTCTGAGGCAAGCCAGTAGCTATGACAGCGAGCCCAGGGACCACCAAAACCATCAGAAAACGCAAAGCACATACAAAATCTAGGCGTGGATGTGGTAATTGTAAACTCCGGAGGGTCAAGGTGTGCTACAGTTGTACACAATGCTGCATCTTGCCAACTCACAATGTTTAGTGCGACGAGGGTCAGCCGGCGTGTAAGCGGTGTATCAGCTTTGGCGTCTCGTGTAGCTGTGAGTCTCCCAAAGATGCGCCATAGGCACGGCCCCTTCCGGAGATAACACCAACGACATGATGGCAGTGTTGAGATGGACAACATTGCACGAAGAGCATACACTGACGATGCCGAACGAGCAGACGATGGCAAGACCGACTTGGAGCCGACAATGGAGAGCACCTTCAGCGTTGAAGTGCCCGTAAACACTTCATTCAACGAACGAGTCCTCAACTTCATCACCTCACCTCAGCCGACGCCATCGGACTTGACAGACTCGTCCGAGGCATCAGAGTTCGACTCGGACGACTATGAAGCACTCGATCGCTTTCAAAACCGCACGGTCTTCACCATCGGCACCACCTCAAGCCAGCAAGTCTACCAAAAGGTCGTCCCAGCACTGGCCAGAGAACACCCCTTCGTGATGCATCTTGTCGTCACACTAACCCTGATGCACGACCGCTTCCTCACAGACGTCAAGTTGGAGAAGTGCTCAACCCAGACCGAATCAGAAGCGTACCACTGGTACCAAGGAACCGTGATCTTCAACAAAAAGCTCCGCGAGATCTACTCCCCCATGACCTCCTCCGAAGCCGACGCAATGTGGGCCGGCGCCCTCTCCCTCGGCTGCATCGCCTTTTACTGCGTCGAAGGCGACCTCCCGCAAGACGTCTGGCCGCTCAAACCCGCCGGCCCGCTCGACTTGGATTGGCTGAAGATCTCTGACGGCAAGAAGGAGGTCTGGCGCGTCGCGAACCCGCTTCGCGCAGATTCCTGCTTCGCGCCGCTGGCAGCCGAGCAGACGAGGTTGCTCGCCCCGAACCCGGACCCGCCGGAGCTGCCGGAGGGTTTCAAGGAGCTGTGGGACTATCCGCTGTATGAGAAACCGGCCGCGCTGGTGGGGCAGCTGATGCATATCAAGTGTGATCGCTCGACGGTATTGTTGTTTTTGGGAATGATTTCGCGGATGGAGCCGCAGTTTTTGGTAGCGCTGACGCAGCGGGATCCCAAGGCGATGTTGTTGTTGAGTGTATGGTATGCGAAGCTGTGTCCATATCGGTCGTGGTGGACGATGAGGCGGGCGGTGTTGGAGTCGCAAGCGATTTGTTTGTATTTGGAGCAGAATCATCCTGATTTGGTACACGGGGTGGGTAAGCACTTGTTTGCGTTTGTGAAGAGTGAGTCGGGGCTGGATCGAGGATGGGGCTGGCGGGACTTTGCGAGGGAAGCTGGATTTGCTGGTGCTCTTGGCAAGGAAGGGTACTGTGAATGGAGGGAGAGTCATCCGATCTTCGTTGGAGGTCAGCCAGGGCCTGTCGAGGTATGATGTCGGAGCCAGTGACTAGGGCGGCTAAACAGTTCGCTGCAGAAGTCTATTCCAGGTGTATATTATATACAGTATACGACGCCACGAATGCCAACTCAATTTGCATCATTACGCTTTCAATCACGATAGCCAATTCTTCCAGTCCTGGCGCCTACTCCTGCGGCTCATCCTTTCCCTGCTCTTGCTTGACCCACCTTTCCAAGCCTTCATTCTCTCCGCCCCAGGGCAAGTACCAGACTGGATTAACCCAATTACCCCTTCGATCTCCCAACACCTCCTCACTGATCTCTCGTGTCCCGCAGACCCGATCAGAGTCCCAGTCGAGCCAATGGCCAGGCATCTGACCCATCTCAATGCGAAAGCCTCCTCGCTCATCGATTGGACCCCACCACTCCTGACCTCGACTGTATGCAGTGGGCATGCGGTATGCCTTCGCTTTCGTCTCCAGGATTTGGCGAAGATAGGGGAAGAAGTAGAGGTCGCGCCAATTCATTCTGATCTGAGACTTTTGCGGCTTCTGACCCTTGGGTAGATGACTATGCGAAGTCGGATGCACGATCGTGGCAGGTGAGATGCCGGTCCAGATGTTCGTGAACAGCGGCACATCCGACCACTCTTTGTCTTCCGGGACGAACGTTTTGCCAGTGTAGTCAGCCGTCCAGAACGGCGGGGTCGAGCGTTTGATATCTTCATCTAGGTGCAAGACGCGCGGCGGGTCAGGCGCGGGTACGCCAGCCTTCTGGGCGGCTTCCCGGATCGAGGATGCGGAGGCGTAGGTGAGGAAGATGGCGTCGGCCTCGGCGAAGACAGTGGGCAGAGACAGCTCGCCACGATAGTCTAGGCCGATGCCGTATTCGTGTGCGGCAGTATTGTCTGTAAGCTCAGGCCTTTTGCGCGAAGGATGTTCTGCAAGGATTGAGTCGCGTGTATCACGCTTGCTGAACTTCTTCCAGCCATTGAGATGCCTTTCACGAATTACTTCACGCTGATACTCTTGCGCGCCGAAGAGAGAAGCGAACGCCGCTTGCTCAGAGCCTGTGTCGACTGGCATCTCCTTCGCCTTGACGAGAGCGGCTTCGAAAACGCGCTTCATGTCACCGACTGGACCCATTATGGTGCCTGAGTTGAGGAATCGTTGGCGATATTTGCTGAATGCGGTCTCCTCATCGCCGGAAAGTCGGTCAGTCAGAGGTCCATAGACGTCAGTTGGTAGGTCAGACTCGGGAACAGCGTAGCACTCTGGATCATCTTCGGTGGCTGGAAAGCACCTCTTCTGCGCGGCGAACACGATGCTTTGGTGGATGGGAACCTCGGAGGCATTCATAGCTTTGTAGCCCATGCGTGACGCAATCCGGCGATTAGCTCGATCGTTGATAGCATGGTAGCGGTCTAGCATGACCGAAGGTCGTAGCTGGAAGATGGTCTCATAGCCATCTGCCACAAGCACCATTTCATTGTCGGATTGAGGACCGAGTTGGCGCAAGAAACCAAGGATACCCTCGATCTTGGCAATATGAGCACCGCCATAGGCGACATCGAGGTCTTTGTAGTCTTCGCCCCAATTGATCATGCGAGGTGTCGGGTAGTCGAGCGCGGCGGCTGAAAAGAGCGTCTTACAAAGGTCCGAATTGCCTTCATTGGCAGGTAGAAGAACATGGAAATACGAAGGCTTCGTTGTGTTGAAGAAGACAAGATCCAATATTTCTTCCTTGTACGGTGTCGCAATTGCCAGCACAATAATCCAAAGGAGCGCGATCCCGCCAGCGATCTTCGCGAATCTCCATCTGGAGCTGGACTTCTGCGAGATCTCACCGGCTTCGGTCTGGTTGACAGGATGGTAAGCCCATGATCTTGACCCAACTAAGCCAGAGACGAAACCTCGCCAGTCGTGGTAGTTGGACATCACAACATGGTTCGAGCCAAGTCAATGGGTCGTTCCGCCTTGCGAAGGCAACCAGAACGCTTCTTCGAACGACTCTCACTTCGCAACCGACGGAGCTTCCGAGAATTCTAAAGCGGCTGTTGTTACACTTCCTTGATCATCAAACCGTGTGCTGTTGTACAACTTGCTTGTACCAGTCCAAAGAAGTATCAGGTGATGATGAATGCGATCAAGGAGATGTTCTATCCTTCCACCACTGCCCCAAATTGACGAAGGTGATGATCGCAACTTCCTAATCGCGAGATATCTCGGTGGAGAACTGAAAGGTTAGGAAAGTAGGATGGGGTTGGCACATTACGTTGAAAAGACGTGTATCAACGGCAAGCGCGAAAGAACCTTGGAAAACACTCACCCACCTGATCCGACTTTTCCGACCTCGTTCTTTCTCGAGATCGCCGCTGCACTCCGTACACTATGTCTCATTGAGAATTGTAAGATATCACCTTGTTGGACCGCCTGAGCTCCCTCATACGATATATCGGGCATATTGACCGGCGGTCGTGCTGTGCATGTTTGCAGTCCGTCGTAACTTTCATCTCAAACGACGACAAGAGCTTATCTTTTGGCTTGAAAACTTCCCGCAGATCGCGCTTGCTAGTGATTAGGGTTACGGAATAATCGCATCCACTTCCAGTTTCGCCAACCACTTCGATTCTTCCCTAACGTCTTGACTAGCCACAGGCGGCTTTTGGTGCTCCGAAGCCACGATTACAGGCGGCCAAGAAGCTTAGCCATCTTGTGTATTCAGCCGCCGAAATCATCAGAGACATCAGCACATTTGATATTTTTCCATCAACGGACTCCGGCACGAATTTGGACATTGGCGTTTCTGGGTCTGGTGCTCGAGTTTCAGTCGTACCAGTCCGTGACCGAGTGTCGCCTTCTGGCCCCTGCCAAGCAAGACCCATCAACGAGCATCACGTCGTATTTCGAGAAGGGAGAGCACGCGACACAGCCAGCACCATCGCGCATACGGCATCGACTGGGGAGATGTACGACACAGCGGCAAGCAGCTTGGGACGATGACAGTGCTGGCTCTGCCGCAGAAGCGGGCTTTACGAATTGCAGTTGTAGCAGGCTGCATATTCGTTCTGATTCTGCTCAGCCATGTCTTCTACGCGCCAATCACGCCGACGGGCATCAAAGGCCAGATTAGATCCACAGCTTCACGCTTGAGAGCCAGGCCGCAGTACGACCCAAAGAAGCTGCACATGCTGATACCAGCGACAAGTACGAATCATCATCTATGCCAACTCATGACCTCCGCTGTGGTACTTGGCTACCCTGCTCCCATCCTACTCAATTGGGGCGGCGTGGAAGATGCGGACGACTACGTGCAGCATCTCCAGAAGGTCGAGGTCGTGCTCAGCTACGTCGAATCTTTGCCCGAGGAGCAGCAAGATGAATTAGTGTTCATGATGGATGGCTTCGATGCGTGGTTCCAACTACCAGCGGACATCATGATCAAGCGGTATTATGACGTCCTCGATTTCGCTCATCAGCAGAACGTGGAAATGTACGGTGCCGATGGGGTCGAGCGACACGACATCCGCGATACAGTCCTGTTTGGGCCGGACAAGCTCTGTTGGCCGGAAGACCCAAATCGTGCTGCGTGTTGGGTAGTGCCCGAGTCTTGGATGCCTGAGCAAGGTTTCGGGCCGGACACTGATCACGGTATTCACGATCATAATCGAGCACGGTGGCTCAACTCAGGGACAATCTTGGGGCCAGCAAGAGAAGTGAGGGAGGTATTCGCTGCAACACTGGCTAAGATCCACGATCACCACACGACGGACTCGGATCAGTTCTATTTCTCGAACGTCTGGGCGGATCAGAGCTATGCACGGCGACTGGTCGGGCTGGAGTATGACCGCTCACGAGGCATCAACGTTTCTGAGACAGAAGCAAAACTACTCCCACCTCCACCTCCTCCGCCACCTCCGCCACCAGAGGTCCCTGAGGGCGAAGAGCCTCCGGAGCCTCCACCGCCTCCACCGCCTGGCCTTGAGATACCCGAGCTGAAAGAAGGCAAGAGCTACGAACTTCACATTGGTCTTGACTTTTCCTCCGACATCTGGCAAACCATCGCTTACTACGAGGACTACATGACATGGGTCCAACACAACTATTCGAGCCGCTATACCCTCTCCGACGCCGCGACAATCAACCCGAGCCACCACTTCACCATGCCCGCCGACCTAGTCGGCCTGAGCCCAATCATGGCCCTCGCCCGCAACGGCGACCGCGGCAACGTCAACTACGAACAACTCCCCGAGGCAATGCGCAGCTGGGCTACAGTCCCGCTCGCCACCAACACGGTCTCCAAGACAATCGCGCCGGTGCTGCACTTTACAGGCAAGAAGTCCTATCGAGAGCTCTGGTGGCCGAGGAACTGGTTCTGGCCGTACCAGGAGGAGATCTTCAAATGGCTGCGCGATCGCGGTGTCGTGAGAGAAGGTGAGTGGCGCGATCCACTTGCCGGTGGATGGACGTACAGCAAGAAGAACCGCAAAGGTTGGGTGAACTGGGAAGATGGGTTGTGTGGGGCATACGAGGAGCGACTAAGAGGCAAATTCGTCGGATAGGGACCGATTGATGAGAGCCACTGGCTCGAGGAGGAGAAGGAGTTGGGGATTGCTTGTGAGGACGTGCAGGGAAGGATGTGTCACCGGAATGGAAGCAATTTGAGTCTCGACGAGTCGTTGAACTTGTAGTGAAGCTGCAGTCCATAGCCATGCGCGCTAATCGCAGGTGTTGGTATATGTCTCTACAGCAAATATGTGTAATATGCAAACCTGTATATGACATGCTCTTGCCATATCGTATAGCCCGCAAAACGCCGCTCGCAATGCATCGCTTGCTAATTAGATTCTGTACACTCAAAGCTTGTTATGCACATAGGCCAAGTACAATGTATGCCGTGTGTCACCTTTTCCCCGTCGACTGAGCACTCTTCCGCTTCTTGCTGTCCAATTCCACTATGCTGTACCCCACTCCTCCGAGCACCGTGATCAGTATCCCCCACAGGTTCATCATGTTCAGCCGCACATTGAACAACAATATCCCCAGGATGATCGTCAGACACTGCTTGATATTCGCGCAAACAGTCATTGTCAACGCACCGGCAACTTTATTCGTGCTGAAGCTGCTGACGTTGAGCGCAAACGCGAGGAATCCGTTCCCTAGGAGGATGAAGACGAACCCTAACGGCGTCGTTCGTGCCGCGGCGGAGGTAGCGGAGACAGCCGGATGCGGCGCGAAGAGGTCGTTCTGGAGGAAGAGCGTGAAGCGGGCGAGCTCGCCGGTGAAGTAGGCGTAGATGAGGGATTGGATGAATGCCAGGGGCGACATGCGCAACAAGATCTCCCAGAAGGAGAGGGCGAGGGAGCCGGTCATCATGCGGTTAGTGACGATTGTTTTGAATGCGGCGAGGATGACGCCTAGGAAGGTGAGGATGAAGCCGAGGTCGGTGTAGCGGAAGTCGTCGCCGTATACGGCGAGGGTGACGCCCAGGACAATGGGGAGGAGGGATAGGTAGGTGTTTGTGCTGAAGGTGCGGTTGTAGAGGATGCGGAAGAGGAGGGTGGTGAAGAGGGGTGTGGTGGCGCGGACGACTTGGTGAAAGGGGACGGAGACCATGGCGAGGGAGACGTTTGAGATGGCGATGTTGATGGTGAAGAGGAGCGAGAAGGCGATCAGGGCGAGGTTGTCGCGGCGGGTGAGTTTCGAGGAGTGGAAGTGGCCGAGTTGGAGCATTACGCTGCAGCCTATTGAGGAGCAGCCGGCGTGCAGGGCGGTGAGGAGCCATGGGAAATTGAACTGCAGAGGTTGAGGTCAGTGACTGTTGTGCTGGTGTTGGTGGCGTCTGGGGTAGAGGGCCACATTGGCGCGCTGCGGTCTCCTTGCAGCTCGCAAAACGAGAACACGAGGTCGGACATGACTTACAGATCCCAGAATGGCTTTGTTGTATAACGTCAAGCCGATGTTGCAAATGAAATAGCCCAGTAAGTACCACAATTTCTTATCCATCGAGACCGTATCTTCATGGTGCTGAGGTTGCTGTGCTCCGGATATATCGGCTTGGCCTTTTTCGGCGTCTGAGGCGAGCAGGCCTGCTTGCTCGATGTCGTCGGTGTCCATACTACTGTCGCGATATGGCGACGCCTCCGTCGTCGGCGCCATGGTCGTTGTTGTCGTATGTTCACCGGTGGCGGCGGTGAAGTATGTCGCGTGCCTCGCCCCTTGGAAAAGTTGGCAAACTCAAAAGCAGTATAGCTTGCTGAAAGGGAAATCGCTGCCGGCGATAAGTGTGGCTTCCACGTGTAAATCTCCGTAACTTCCAGCGGAGCGTGGATGATTATCAGCACTGATTATCAAGACCTGATAATGGTCGACGTCATGCCAGATGCAGCAGTTGCAAGGAGCGACGTGAGATCTTGTCAAGCGAAGGTAGAATAACGAGAGATGCTGAGGTGAAGTGTTTGCTGTGCAAACTGAGTCCAAAGGATCATTAACATTCATGCATTAAAACGCCAGTTCCTCCTTTGCCGGCAGTAATCAGGACGAGTGGTCGGTTGAATCGCAGTGGCTACGGAATCGAGCGAGCTAAGACCTTGGTATTATCCTGAGAACATGGATATCGGCAGCTGACCCGAGCAAGAGAGCAATACAATTCACAATTTTCATGCTGGACTGGTCCCATCATTATCGATGACTTTCCTTGACGTCCAGTGCGTGTAACAAAGGGGGGTTCATTATCCGTGTCGCGCCTATGGTCCAGGGAAGAGCAGGCTAGAGTCAGCTTACATGCGCGTGCGATAGGGCAGAAGCAATGTTCGACCCCAGTCGCCAACAGACGGCCAAGAGAACGGCCACGTAAGCGGCTAATGACAGCAATCTCTTGGATTGCAAGGACTGTGCACGCAAAAGAATTGTTTTCCGTTACAGCAGCAAATACAGACGTAGAACACGAGGAAATTACAGGGCCAAGGAGTTCTTTGGGTCCGTTTGATCGCCTGTTTGGTAGCATCTTTACATTTCTTTGCCCGGACTTCCCCTGCCAAGGTGACTTCGAGAGTCCCAAAGCCCCAACAACTTCCGGCAGCAACCCTCCAGTGACGCACCTGCCGCTGCTAAAAATTCTTGGTTGCAACTTGCGGGCGATCATTCAAGGTCTTTTCGTTAAGCTGAAAGCACATCATGATGATCACTTCGCGGGTGTATTTCTGGAACGTTGGCTTTGACAAACGAGGAGTAGGTACAAACTCGTCCAAGGCACTCTCTGCTGTCTTTATCAGCCAGAGAGCGGCCTCAGCACCTTTCCCGTCTGCGGACGAGACTTGCCAGTCGCTGAATCCCCATCGCTTGGCTATCGCGGGCAGCATAAGCCAGCTCCACCACTGAGCGGTTGGCTGCTTAAACGTGCGCGATCCCTGCTACCCTGCAGGTGCCTTGAGCAAACCGAGACTCGGGCCCGCAAATCTTCACAAAAGATTCCCGGAGTGCACTACGGACGAATGCCGCTGTTGTTTTTGCTCGAGCTGGGGAAGTAGCGAAGACTGATGATCTGTCACAACACGATCCTTCAGCATCCTTCTTGACTCCAAGGGCCGACATGACCCAGCCATCGTTGAAGAGGAAACGGGAGGTGAAAAATATATGCTGCATTGGGGCTGGCTACGTCGTAGGATCTCAATGCGCCGATAGCCGCGCCCACCCACTGACGTGTATAGGGTGGCCCCAGCGCTGCTGTCATTGCCAACAAGGCACCACATCTCAATGTAACCGTCGTCGACATTGATGCTCGCCGGATAGAAGCATGGAATTCAGAGACGCTGCCAGTGTACGAGCCAAACCTCTATCAACTCGTCAAGCCAGCCCGCGACGGTACCGAAACGCGAAGACCGAACCTCTTCTTCTCCACCAAGATCGATGAAAAGATCAGGGAGGCCGATGTCGTCTTCATCGGCGTGAACACTCCTACGAAAAGGACCGGTCTGGGCGCCGGCAAGGCCTCAGATTTGGGATGGCTCGAAGCGGCGACTCGACGAGTCGCAAAGGCGGCAGAAAAAGACACAATTGTGGTTGAGAAAAGCACAGTCCCCTGTGGCACCGCTGAAAGCATGAGAGAAATCCTCATGGCCAATGCGCAACCTGGGGTACATTTCGAAGTCTTGTCAAACCCGGAATTCCTGGCTGAGGGCACGGCCATCAAGAATTTACTACACCCAGACCGTATTCTGATCGGGAGCTTGGACACTGAGGCCGGCTATTCGGCAGCAGAGTCGCTTGTGGACGTCTATGCCAACTGGATACCTCGCGAAAAGCTCATAACGATGAACCTATGGTCCTCAGAACTAGCCAAACTCGCGGCGAATGCTATGCTCGCCCAGCGCATCTCCAGCATTAATGCTTTTTCCTCGATATGTGAAGCAGTGTCAGCGAACATCCAAGACGTGGCATATGCGGTCGGCCTCGACAGCAGGATCGGACCCAAGATGATGAATGCTTCCGTCGGCTTTGGCGGGAGCTGCTTCAAGAAGGACATTTTGAACCTCGTATACATCTCGGAAAGCTTAAACTTACCAGAGGTCGCGGCTTATTGGCATTCAGTCATCGCCATCAACGAATATCAGAAGGATAGATTTGTGCGACGAATCGTGAAAGCGATGCACAGCACCCTGTACCAAAAGAAGATTGCTATTCTGGGATTTGCATACAAGAAGGACACAGGCGATACTCGCGAGTCTGCCGCGATTGATGTGGTTACGGCGCTATTGGCAGAGAACGCCACCATTCACATCTTCGACCACAAGTGCGACCGGAGCAGATAATGTCTGATCTACGACTTACGATGGACGATGATCGAGTCACTATATGCGACAGTCCGTACGACGCATGCCAGGACGCACACGGCGTTGTGATACTGACGGAGTGGGACATGTTTAGCAACAAAAACGTGAAAGTTGGCCCGTCCTCGGCGAATCCGCTGCTGAACGTCACCAATAAGCAGCTCAATGGCTCAATGGCCACATCGCCTCGGAGACGAACGGCACGAATGGGACCCTGTCGACCAGCAGCTCATACAATGATGTTACGAAGGGATTTTCAAGCTCGCATTCTAAGACTGACAAGATTGATTGGTCCAGGGTGGCGAACATAATGGACAAGCCAATGTATGTCTTCGATGGGAGGAATACGATCGACGTCGGCGCGTTGGAGCAGTTGGGGTTCCAGGTGGAGGCGATTGGTGTGGCTTCGGCAGCGAGCATTGCGATGGCCAAGTAAGGCTTTGGGCGTAGCATTTCGGAGTAGTGATGAGAGGCCTCTATCGCTGGAGACTAATAGGTTGAGCGCAGTGTGCGATATGGCGACAGGTACGACACTCTACATGCGTGTATATACCCAAAAGTCGCTCCCGCTAGCGTCACTTTTCCTTCCACGTGCTCGAAAACGCGGTCTCTTTCAGAGAGATTCATACAGCCCTCGTCGATGCTTGAGACTCACCTAAGGGCACACTCATCCCATGATTCCCCTTATACCCCCTAACAACCCGACTCTCCCTCCAGCCCTCCCTCTCCAAAAAACCCCCATCTTCCAACGCCCACACTTCCACCTTCAACGGCCGACAAATCTCCCGCATGGCCTCATCCTGTCCGAATCCCCACACACTCAAATCCCCACCAGGACACGTACTCAACGCAACCAACAGATCCGTCTCCGCCAAGAACTCAATATAATCCCCCCTCTGCGCGGGACTAGGCTGCATGAAATACCTCCCCTCGCTATTCAACCCCGTGATCTGGAATATATTCAGCACGTCGTGCACGTCGCTCTCGTTGAGGCCGAAGGGAAGCACCGCCCGCGTAAGATTCGAGTGGCAGTGATAGTCATAGCTACCGGCTTCGCCGCTCAGAAGCACATTGACGTACGGATCGCATCGCGTGCCGAGTAAATCGTGACATCGCCCGCCAAAGCCCCTCTTGCCGTCCTCCTCCTGCCCAGTCCCGCTGCCGTCGTCGCCGTACCACCCCAACGAATCCGCGATGATCGTCGCCAGCGGACGCAAGTACGGCAGGTTCGACCATAGTCGATCCCCTGTGGTCAGGTGACTAGCATGCAATTGTCGTGTCCGGCTCGCCCAAAACCGCTCGCGCGGGTTGTGTAAGCTCCAGATGTTGAGATCGCCAACTTGCGGGCCCTCGGGGGTGCTGATGCGGAAGATGTGGCCGGCGGGGACGGGGAAGGCGCGGCCGGAGCGGATGGGGAGGGTGAATGATGTTATTGGCGCGGAAGCACGCGGCGAGGACTGGATTCTGGTGTAGAGCTCCGAATCAACTTTGAGGGGCGAGGTACTGGTGGTGGTGGTGGAGAGGTAGGCGGGGACTGGGGGGTGGGGGTGGGTTGGCGATGTGGTATGCTGTGCGGGTTGCTGGGTCTGCTGTTGATGGTGGGGGACTTGGCTTCGTCGGTCCTTTGTAACTGTATGTAGAGGCCATTGTCAAGTGTTTGGTACTATTCGGACTAGGGAAACATGGAGATGACAGAATGAAAGAAGGCAAACATTGAAGTCAAATGGCGTCGTTGCCTTGTTCCTAGCGACGAGGTGGCTCCGTCCCGAGGCTGACGTTCGTGCAATTTTATTCCGTAGTTGCATCCCACCTTTATCAGAACTTTGACCTCGCCAGATGTTCCAGTTTCTACCAGCGATACTACATACGGTGACACTTTGTTGATAGCAGATTTCATGTGATGGTCGAGAGCCGCTGAACCACTAACAACGTGCAGCCCATTGGAGGCCCGCCGCCGGCTTGAAAGGGATACCATTTCGGTCCTGACGGTGGCTCGACTTTCAGCTCTAGCGCAGTTCTCAATGCTCAAATCAGCAGATATCTGCCTCAGAACGGCATCTACGTGAATGCACACTTCTTCAGGCGCTGAAAATGTCGCGGTCGAGGACTTGAACTTCCACAGTCGGAAACAGCGGGGAGTGAGACGATCCGCGAATGCGCCTTTCGATCAGTCCCCTCACTGCGTTTCAACCTTCTCTGACTTCTCCTCAGCTTCCACACGCTGATCCTCCGCCCCCTGACTCGTCCCTGGATTCTTCGACTTCTTGATCTGCTCCTTGACGTGCGCCTCCTGTAAGCTTTTCTCCACCCACCGTTCCACTTCCTCAAGCGCACGGTGCGGAAGGCCCCGGTGATAGAGCAGAAAGCCCTGGAGCTGCGCCATTGTGAAAGATCCCTCCGGCACTTTTGTAGAGAACAGCTCAGCTAAACGCTCAATCTCGGTGAGGTGCATGTTCTGATGGTCCTCGGCCTTTGCACCTGCTTCGTCGTCCTCATCGAGAACGGTGCTGGAGCCAGAGTCTGTTTTGCTAGCGGGTTTGTCGAATGTGCCGTCCGTGCCTTGGATGATCGACTCGCCATTGCCATTTGTATAGCGGTTTCCTCCCGCAACCTCCACAGCACTTTCTGACGCATACATGTTGAGGAAGATCCGGCGAATCTGGCTCTGATCAGCGCAAGTGAATGGCACCTTCATGTCGATTCGTCCAGGACGAATCAGAGCGTCGTCGAGACTGTCTGGTTCGTTGGTGGTCATGATGAGGACATGACCTTCTGGAGCACTGGCGCCGTCGATAACATTCAAGAGGTGTGACAGCGGAGGTCCGGAGAGCAGGATTTTTCGCTTCGCCTATAGTGCCGAGCTCACTGGACTTGCGGCCTAGACCTGCGCAGTCGACGTCTTCTAGAAGGATGATGTCGCCTTTGCCGACCGAGCGGAAGAGATAAGGCAGATAGTAGTCGGTAACGCCTTGGTCAAGAAGTGAGAGGACATGGATCTGCTTGCCAAAGCGCCCTGCGATAGCCATAGCAAGACTGGTCTTGCCTGTGCCCGGCAGACCATGAAAGAGGTATCCGCGACGATAAGGAATTGAGCGGTATCTGAACCATTGAGCTGTCTCAGGGTCAAGATATGCGGCGACATCGTCGATCACACTCTTAATCAGGCCATCAGCAAGACAGACGCTGCTGAGTGGACGTATTGGTTTAGTTCCGCGCTGGGACCATGAACCACAATTTTGGGCTGTCTACATCAGCGATTTTGCTCGGCCAGGTCAGAAAATGTTTCTTACCCATGATCTGTGTCATCACTTTGCCGTTCTTAAGCTCTCGATCGATGTATGCTTGACGTAGCAGCTTGATGATCGGATCAGGCGAGAACCCGAAGGTCCAGATAGTCATTCTCTGGGGCAGTTGCCGAGTGAGCCATTTCTCGATCGTGAGGCAGTAGAGCCGGCGCTCGTGCCAGGAGAACTGGACTGTTTGGCGCCAAGTCAGTGGTCGTGGTCATCGAAAAGGCGTGAGTGGACGATCATAGGAGGTCTTTGGGCCAAAGGACATTAGTGGTTGGCGTTATGGAGAGGCATACAATTATTGTTTGCATCGATGAAGATGTCTTCGCCAGCGGCAACTTGACTTTCGTAGATCCCTACATCGGATGCTTCGCCGCGCAAATAGTTGAGAGTGACAGCACTCATGTAGCGTTGATTCATGAGGAGTCGCTTGCTAGCCAGGAAAGTCACGAGACCGCTGTACATAGCAGTGTCGTTGGGGACGATGTCGACGGAGCTCATGCATGTTGACATAACATCTATCAATATGACTTGATCAGCTATCGCGCTCTGCAGACATTTGGAACGGCGGATGCACTTACTCGCCCATATAGAGGCCGCCTTGCCGACTAGAAATTCGTACCCCAGCCACAGAGCGAATGGAACCGATAGACAGCGGACGAGCCTGGGATGCTTTGCGAGCCATTTCGCGATGTGCGGAAAGAAAGTGCCTATGATGAAGGACGAGACGCCTATGTGGCCTAGGAGCTCGCTGCTGAGGGTAGACGCTTGCGCATTGTCGACCTTCTTGTCCTCGTCGACGCTAAAACATATGTCAGCGCAAGCCTTTTTGCCATCGGTGAACGTATCGTCGTGGGATCAACGTCAAAGCACATGAATTGACAGATTTACTTACTCACGATATGTTCGATGACGGTAGCGAGCTTCCGTGCGAGACATCTTTCGGGCGGTGCAGGAAAAAAGATTGTGCCAGTGGTCAGCAGAAGAGAGAGAAAGTTATGTTGCGTTGTTGAGGTTGCAGAAGTTGTCTGAAGATATAGTATTCCTTCCTCGTGAGTGACTGCATTTCTCGAGTAAGTGAAGTGTCGCATGCCAAGGAAGGTGCCTGTCAGAGGTTGCGGTCAAGTGGAAGTCAAGATATCGTGAATGAAGGAAGTGCGTCCCTTCCCTTCGATAATGCTGGATTCGACTGATCGGCAGTGGTCCTGGTTACCTGGGGAATTTACTAACGGGCTGCGCTCGCTGAGCCCATTCCAGGGCTTCGCACAGTCTAAATGATTGATGTGGTGACTCATAAGCTCGAAGGTGTTAGGAAATCCAGTGACAAGGCTCTTAAACTGTGCTCAATTCTTCTCTGTTGTAACCGTTCATGTTGACCACGACGCATCACGCCACGACGCCCAAATCAGCAGCTCGCTAGCCTAACGAAGTCTGATGCCGCGATCAACGATCTCTGTATCGACAACACGGCTCTCCACACAAACACGACTTATCAAGTCGCCTCCAGTACCGACTCGAGTAGTCCATCGTAACCTCCTTACCCGCAGCTACACCCTTCGACACCACAACCGTCCTTTGAACACCAAGCCAGGTGAACTGCTCCAGCTGACTGTTCGGATTGCAGCTATGATTTATGAACCGTGTATAGTTCCCCATTCGGCCCTGGAAGATCTGGTAGTCGACACCAGCTAGACCCTGTCCCTGGACCACATCGACGTCCTGCAGATCTTTCGTCACCAAGCCGACGAACTCGCCGATCGGCGAGCCGCGATCGAACGTGCAGCATGCAATCAAGCCGTTGTTTCGACCGTCGTCGTTGTTGATGACTTGCACTGGGCAGAGCGCGTTCGCATTGGGACCGAAGAGGTCGGCGAAGCACTCGCACTCATTCTTCTCGGTGAGTTCGGATTGAGGCTTCGAACACAGTGTGCATAGGTAGAATGGTCCGCTCTCGACCCTTCGTGGATCGTACTCGCCCCATTTCTCTTGATCGACGACCGACGCCCGGATCTGCTCGAAGACGAATGGGCGTTGCTGATGACGATACGTCCAAGATAGAGGCACGGGATCTTTCTTCTTCGAGACAACCCAGTCATGAGGATGGCCGCGATACGTCCGCTGTGTAGAGACGCCGACAAGGCTGAGTGTCTGCCGCCACTGTGGCTGCAGCGTATCGGCAGCCACTTCGAACCGAGATTTCATGGATCGCAGCTTGGCCAGCGCATCGTCGTCAAAGCCCATTCTGTACTTGCAGAAGCGATAGATGCCAGGTCCCGCAAACGTGAGTGCCGTCCAACCTGCAACATCTTTGATCTCGCGGTAGCCCTTCCAGATGCCCATGCGATTCCGGAGGTCTTTCTCAGACCATTCAAAAGTAGCACATGCTTCTGTCATGACAAGCTTCTTGTGCTCGTGTAGACGAAGGTCTGGTCTTTGCTCCTTCATGGAGTCAATACGTGCAAAGAAGCAGTCAACCCAATGTGCCTGCATCATGACTTCGATGGATCGTGCTGTCCGACTGATTCCGGTCAAGATACGACATCGACGGCTGACGTCTGTGAAGTTCAGCGAGAGGTTTGCTGCAGGTTGCAAAGGACGTATGATGTCCGAGATATCAGGCGGGATGACGAGAATGTTGGGTGTATGGATCTGTTCCCAGATACCCTCGATGAGCTTGTCCACTGTAGATGGTTGCAGCTTTGCTGGGCCATCGTCAATCTTGCGACGTTTCGGAAAGTTTCGCTGATCTGTTTGAAGTTGCCGAGTCCCTTCCGGCGAAGGTGTCCGTTGCGGTGTGGTGCCGCTGATGTGGAGTCCGCCCACGGCTTTACGGCGAGCTCGTCCTTCGTTGGCGTTCACGTTGGCAGTAGCAGGTGCGACAGAGTCGTTGCCTTCGGGACCAGGAATCGTGGTCGATATCAGCACCTGTTTCCCTTCGCTCTGTCGGCTGGTAACAGGCGACGTAGTCACTCGGGACAGAAACGGACTCGTGGACTGAGATGTGCGGCTGGGCGAGGATGATTGCCACTGGCCGACATCGAGAGTCCCTAGGACGAAGGTCTTCCGACGAATTTGGCGTGTGTGACGCCGAGGTATCACGGTGGCCTCAATCTGAATCTGCGTTTCTGTATGGCTGATCTGATCAGGTTCCAGCTCAGCGATGATTGAGTCTATCTTGGTGATGAGACCGTCCCGGAAGGCCTCCATGTTGGCCGCCATGCTGTCTGGTCCAAGGGGAGAGACGCTACAACGGACCGTCCGCGTACGCTGGCTGGGTTACTGCGAAGGTGACCTGGTGTACCATATGTCTTCGAAACCGGATGCGAGTCCTAAAAACCAGGAAAAGCACAACTTAGGTCTCAAACGACTCCGTTGTCCTTATCATGCCTGCATTGCAGCGATGTCACGAGCCTCCCGTCCAGACGAGAGGCAAAATAAGCGACGAGTAGGACCACACAAGCGGTGTGCCCTGCAGTACGGGATACGAGAGTAGCATCTTGACAGCGGAGATCATGGGAGGGAGATCGAGAATCTTCAAAGATTGCCATGATGGTGGGCGGGAGTGGGCGCACTCGAATGTCGTGGGATGAAGTGGCGTCATCTTTGCCCAGGTGGAAGGTGATTTTAGGCTTCGTACGCCTAGCTTGTTTGAAGTTGGCGCGTATGAAGATACGTTCGAAAATTACCAGAAATACAGCACCTGGGCACGTCGATGGCCACCGGGAACCGTTCTGGAGACGTAGCTGGGACATAACCACATCGCATCAGGCCAGTCACTCGTTCAACAGTCAAACCGGGAGCGGAAGATCCTGCGGAGCTCATCGGCTTCTCTGCCAAAGCTCAGAACGTTTCACTCCCAGAGTCGTCGACGATGGTGCACATCGCGCGACGAGCGGCAGTCTTCCGACCCAAACTTCTCGACATCCGCTCAGGCATCGGTGCACTCATACTACCCGCAGACGCAAAGGCACAACTGACCAGCGTACTTGTGCGATACCGCAAAGTCACGTCAGCGGAGTTTCAAGATGAGGCAACGAGGAGGAGAGTCCAGGGCGCATACAACTTTGCCAAATTCTACCTTCCACGGTTAAAATACCACAACCCGACTCTGAAAATCGACGTACAAAGGAGCGCGAGGCATCCCAATCAGATCGAGCTCGAGTTCGAGTCCAAGGATCCCGCAGCTCTGCTAGCTCTGGAGTTCCCGAGGAAGAATGTCGGGGAAGCCGCCAAAAGTTCCAGATCTGCCGCGACGGCGTACCTCGATTCAGCAGCCAAGGCAGAACAAGCAGCGTTAGAAGAGCTCGAGGCGGAGTCATCAACACAGGAGGTGACAGAAGCCGCAGCAGATACGGCAGCGAAAACACCACCAGAGACCGCACCAGACTCCATAGCAGGGACTGCGATCGATACAGCTTCCGCAATAGAAGCCGCAGTAGATCCCACGACAGGGCTCTCAACATCGAAGGACCAGACCAAAACCCCCCAAGAGAAACCCTTCTCCTCCCCACAAGAAGAAAAAGCCTACGCCGACCTCGCCTCCAAAATCGCAACCGCCATTCCCACCCTCAAGATCCCCGAAGGCCGCAAGCCGCCCCCAACCTACCGCGTCCGCGTCAAACCCGACGACAGAGGCCGCTATCCCACCACCAACCCAACCTACACACGCAAAATCCAACTCCCCGTCAACGACCGCGAAGACGTATGGATTTTCAACTGGTTCAAGAACCGCACCGGCGCGAAGGAAGTCACGAACGCAGAGGACAGGAAGATGAGGGAAGCATTCCAAGAGAAGGAGAAGCGGGCCGTGGTCGATCGAGCAGCGTTCTACGAGCGGCTGGCGATCAAGAAGAACCAAGAGGCGACGCTGGAGGCGATCAGGAAGCGGGCCGAGCAGAATGCTGCTGAGGCTAACGCGCCGGCTGGAATGCCTGTTTGATCTGGTTTCTAATTACCTAGTCATGGACGATCCGTACACAGTATACTGATATGGCGGGCGGGCAAGCGGACCGCCAGACCCTTTTTCGGATTGGACGTGCCTACGGCAATCGGAGGTAGAATGTATGAACACTGAATGATGCTATGCCTTCCGTGGCAGCTGTTCATCCCAAAAGAGCACTCAGGTGCTTGTTGCCGTCGCTCGTCGAGACACCAAGGCCGGCGCTCAGAACACGCACAGCCCTGAGAAATGGAATGCCTCCATAAACCCCGGGCCACCAAGCACACGGCAAGGAAAGTAGAAAGACATTCTAGCCAGATTGGGCACGAGAGGCCTCCTCCTCTCGCGCGGTGGGAAGTGAGGCGTTCGCGGATATTTGCAAGAGCCGATGCAAGGCATATATAGCTCAGACGCGATGTACAACATCATGCCAATATATACTTTCTACCACTTCTCTTCTCTCTTGTATGCACATCGTGGTCCATATACACAACCGTCCACAGCATGTCATGCAAATCCATATTTCCAATCGTCGCATGTATCCGCAATGTCCTCACGCGCCTCTACCTGGCCCGCCTCCTATTCCTCTGCGCTGTCGCTACTCATGGATCATATGCCCCATACTCCGAATCTTGGTATCCAAATACTTCTCAATCTCCACCCCTTTCACCCCTTTGTGCCCTCCCGTCCGCCATGCTATCGGTACCATCGCCACCCTCTCCCTGACCCTAACCTCCTTATTCGGCCCCTCCACCGCACGCACCTTATCCGGGTTGTTGGTCAATAACCTGATGCCGCGCTCTCGGGCTTGTTCGCCTTCTCGTTGCTCCCGCTCCATTGACTCCGCCGACTGGTGTAGCTGCGGACCATCCTCAGTGCTCGGAGAGTGATAGCCCAGCCCCAAATCACACAGGATAGCAGTCGCAAGCCCATACGTCCTTGCATCCGCCGGATGCCGCAACAACAAATTTGCCTCGACTGTATCATTCCCCAGATCCTGCAAGTTATACGCTTTCAATTTCGACGCGAGGCCGATGCCCCGACCTTCTTGGCGGAGGTAGACTATCACTCCGCCAGCAGCCTCATCGTCGTTGGGATCCGAGGAAGATGGCAGCGACATCAAGCGGGCGGCTTCGTCGAGCTGCTCGCCGCAGTCGCAGCGGGCGGACCAGGCGGTTTCGCCGGTGTAGCATTCGGAGTGGATGCGGACGAGGGGCGCTTTTGAGCGTGGTGTCGTGGTATTGTGCGCGTTTGTTGTTGTGGTGGTGGTGTCGTTGTGGTCGAGGGAAAGAGATGAGATTCCGTCTTCGAGCTGTGACGTCGCTGAGGCCGGTGGTGCCCTTTGCATAGAACCCACATTGCCCGTTCCCGCCTGCTCACCCAACCGCGCGGTCTCCAACGTCTCTCCCTCCACCAACGTCTCCGGCGTCTCAACATTCCTCAACGCCGACCTTCCCGTCCCACTCCTCTGCCGCTTCGCTCCAGCTGGCCTCCATCGTTTAGAATCAGCATCAACCCTCGAACTCGTCCTCCCAGGCGTCAATCTGCCTACATAAGCACCTCGAATCATGCGATCCATCTCGCTCTCCCCCTCCCGCTCGCGATCCAAACTCTTAGAGCGTATCCTTCCGCCGAACACAATTGCCAAGTGCTCTTTATCATCGCTGTCGTTCTGGTATAGGTGCAGGAACATCTCCGCGCCGGACGTAGTTGGTATCCTTGCTCTGACCACACACTCTACTTTCGGCAGGCGGGGGACGAGGCGCGGTTGTTTGAGAGTCGGCGGGTCGAGGGAGGTATCGACGGGTGTGGATTTGGGCGATTTGGTGAGGTGGCGGGACGGAGTGGAGGCGCCGGTGTGCTGGGTGGAGTGAACTGCGGACTGAGGAGCCTGGGACGGCGGGGGTTTGTGGGCCGGAGGGCTGGAGGTCGGTCCATTCTTTGAAGTAGGTTGAGGAGGGGCGGGCGGCGACTGGGGCGGCGAGAGGCGTGGTGGGGGGTAGGTCGGGGGAGTGGTGTGGTGGGAGGTCGGCTGTAGTGTGTGTCGCCATTGTGGAAAGAGAGCAGGCACCGTCGCTCCTGCTTTGCAATTTGGCTGTATAGTGCAGGTGGATAGGCTGGTCTCAGTGCAATAGCATTGCCATCGCCCGGGTAGCAGAATACTGATGTTGCGGATGTCGCTGGCAAAGGTCAAGGTTCAAGTTCGAGTAGTTAGATCAGCACATCAGATCGAGGCCGCGAGCCTGCGTAGAGGCTGTTGCTGGCAAAACACACTTCATGAGCACCAGTACATCATACGAAGGAAAAGAAATCCTAAGCGGTTCTGTCATCCGATTATGTCGGTTCCTGTCCTCCGCATTTCGGTGCCCTAGGACCCTGCATTTTGCTAGCAAATGCTCGAGTTCCAGCGCCTTCGATCCGAGCCCGCCTAGAAACCCCCACTACGACGGACATGCCTCGGCCCACACACCCGCCTCAGTTCCGCAATACATTTATAACCACAAGATCAATACCGCAGCGTCAGTTTTAGGGGGCACCTCTGTTTACATGAGCAAGGTGAGGCCTCTCCAGACTAATAGCTACAGTATTTCATAGAGACAGGCTAAGATCGTCTGAACCAAGTACCTACATTCGGAAGCTGTTTTGGAGTGTGGTTTTTTGTACTACGTTCAATCACTCCTTGTTCCGCTGTATGGAATCTGCCTCCTTGTTCTGCTGTATGGAATCTGCCGGCATTTCCACCGCCGTCATACTCTTGGGAGTCCATAACTCAGTCGCAGCCTCCGAGCCCTCCACTTCATTCGCCCCGCTAGTCCAACGATTTGTGCTGTGCTGGTCCGATAATTCGCTCATTGGTGGTCTGCCAGATAGTCTTGGGGCATCAACCTCGATGGCAACAGCATCGGCATGATAAGGTGGTGGGGACGATGATTTCTCATGAACCGGGCTAGCATCTAATTCCTGTCGTTTGCTCCTGCGTCGTCGCAGGAAGAACCATACGGCGAACATGATCATGACAATGCCAATAACGCCACCGATCACACCTCCCGCAATAGCACCTTTGCTGATGCCTTTTCCACGTCCGGAAATAATGGCGTAGTCTTGATCCTCAGCACAAATAACTGTAATATTCGGCTTCACTACTTCGTCATTGATGGCTTTGACAGCTTTCGCTATACGCCATTGGGCCCGCTCTTCGTCGACCACAACATACTGTTGACTGAGAAAAGCAGTGCCCCAGAGATGGGTATTAGTCAAAGTTCCCGAGGATTGGTTGAACACAACGCTCCAGACATCCGCATCATTGTCCAAGGTGTATAGACCGTCCTCGTATTTTTGCTGATGCACGAAGAGCTCTGACGCAGGGACTGTCGCTCTGTGACCATTTGTGAAGGTAACGCTGAGGTTTCCTTTGGGAATTGCCGAGGGTGGATATACCGGTGCTCGAAGTGTGGTATTGTGAGTGCCGCCAGTGGCTGTAAGGAAACGAGAATAGATTGCTGGGGGAAGGTCGACCTGCATGGTGAAAGGCTCGAGCTGGATACGTGTACGTGGGTCACCATTGTCCTCGATCAATGGGGAGGAAGTGTTGTCGCCATCCCACGCAAGAGTCTGAATCTCAAGACAGAAAGCGCAGTCGTCGGCGGGTATCTGCCCTTCGTAGAATTGTCCAGCTACGCGAGCCTGGTCGTAGCCGCCGACAACAAGAAGACCATTGTCGGGGTTCTCAGGAGCAGTAGAACCAACGTAGAGGCCAAAAGCTTTGGATGGGACGTCATCGTTGGCGAAGATCGTACGCAGAAACGAGCTGTTGGGGTGAAGGGGGAAGCCACCGGAGAACCCTGCAGATGTCAGCTTCGTCACATGGATGGAGGCAGCAGTCTCACCATATCCAGGAGAGTTCAACGCCATAGGCATGTTGTCCGTGCTTCCATTGGCTCCGAAGCGGACAGTGTCATGGAAGAAGACGTTGTGCGCGGCATCCTGATTACCCGGATCAGTGCCGTTCCATTGCTCCTGAGTGTCTCGAACAAACGTCGAACTTGCTGAGCTGTCGAAGACACCGCCTCTTAGCGCAATGCAGGTCGAATTGCCTTTCTCGCAGTCTGCCGAGTTGGACACATAGAAATCTCGAACACTGAAGGATGGCGCAAGAGATAGGATCTGCTGTGGCGTGCCAACGCCGACTTCGATTCCCCAGAAGGATCCCCTTGCATCGTCGGATATGGTTACGTTGCGGATTGGTAGTTGTAACGGGCCAGCACCATTCGGGCAAGACATGTCAGCGCGGTGGGTTGGTCGCTGCGATTTAGCAATCGATAGTGGTCAATTTCTAGCCAGGAAACTGTTGATACACAGGGTTATACATAACGCCGCAGTGAATGTTGCGGAGCTTCGGACGTTGTGCTGATTTCTCTCTATTTAACGCAACAAGGCACTCTCTGCGCGGGACCCTGTCTCAGTTCGTGATTCAGTCTCTCCTTTAGTTGTCGAGGAGGAGAAGGCAGGAGCTTGTTCTGGTCGATAAGATCTAAGTACTTACGAAGCCTTGCCTGTAAAAGAACTGGACTAGTACCAGGCAGGTCCGAGCTGTAGTTCACACGCACCCTGAAATCTCAAGAACTTCTCAAAGTCGCCGAGCGGTTCTCAAGGTTCTTTCGCTTGTGGTAGACCCATGTTACAAGTAATCTGGCGCACGGAGGGGGGTCCTGCGCCAAGATTGTCTTTTTGCGTTATCGTGCTTCGATGGGTCTAAGCAGGTCCGTCCGCAAATATCATCGTAATTCCTATCCAAGTTGCCCTTCTGATCCTCGGGGAAGAGAACGTTGAGTGTACGGCGGCCACGCAGAGATGAGAAACTCGCAAAAGTTCATGGCCTCGAACCCCAAAACACCTGCTAATGGTAGCAAGGTCTCGTATATCCATCTCAGGTGGCCCGTGGAAACGCTGAACCGATCTCCGAGATCATTGGCCGTCCAATCAGATTGCGTATTGCGTTCCTTAGCTTACGAGACTAGGCCAGGCAACGCTGGGGCCCCAGTCGAACCGCCGCTTCGAATGGTCGATCTCTTCCCTGACATATGGCCAACGAACATCGAGTATCATCGATGTTGACACTCTACAGTGCGTGGGTGAGGAGTTAATCACATAAGTAGTTAGTGTTCAGGTCCTTTCTCCTTCAATGCCAGTCTATGACTTTACCTTATTGCGATCAACACAAGAACTTATTAACCAAGCAGTGAATTACGCCCCAAGAACCGACAAGGGGCAGGTTAGTCAGTCTCGCTCCAGCATGAGACGCCGAGCTCGTCGAAAGTCTGGATCATAAGCCCTGTACGCCGATGGCTAGTGTTGTTCTGGGCGTGCTCTGCTGTTGTTGCATTTGAAGAAGGCAATTTCTCCCTTGACGGCGGTCGTCGTACATCTTTTGACGTGCTTGTCGGTCTCAAGTCTTCTGGTCTACACTGTATTCACGCTCATGGATCTGCTCGAGATCGATTGCCTTGCAATACATCTTCCACGGCATTCCAGGTCGGAATTGATGTTCCCACCGAATCGAGAGTCCTCGAAAAAGCTCGTGCAGCCTGGATCGTTGTTGCTCGCATGCAGAATAGGTTGCCTGCCTGTCGACCGTTAAAATGACATTTTGGTAGAAGCCGCCATCCGTGTTCGCATTGCGATAATCGGCGTCTCGTATGCGTTTATTAATTGAACAACTGCGTGCAGATCGTACCAGAACCGTTCCATGGTAGTGACCGGTCGGGTCGACTTACTGTCCACTTGTAGGAGACGCCTCGCGACAACGATCGCACGGGCTTCTGGACAAGATCTCCCGTTGCCGTGGCAGGTACGGTTCAAAGTTACGCTCGTCACGAAGCCGTGCTTGCTGCGCCTGCCGTAGAGCCGCAGTAGTGTCCCTCGCTTCTTGCTCACCCCACGTCAAAGCGCCAAAGAATACAGTGCTCGTGCACCGATCAACAAAGAAGGGCAGAAAAGCAACGAAGTGGGCGCCTGCTTGAGGCGCACGATTGAGTGTGAGGTCTTGGCAGTTGACCCCACCTCAGTTCCGCGTCACATATATAACCACGAAACTCCATCCAAAACGATTGTCATCACGTCGTGACTCGGTCATATGCATTCATCGTCAGCGGTCTCCACTAAGCCATGTGTGGCTGCTTATCTACAACTGACGGCAATGAGGGAGCGACCTGGCCTTCTTCCTCACGTACAGCTGAGCCAACCAGACCGCAAGCAACCTCACAGGTAGTCTGCCAAATCCTTCACTTCCACTGATCTGGATCAAGCACATACCGCCTTTCTACACGATGTTCGTTCTGATCTTCCTCGAACAACAATGTATACGCTCCTTTGGAGAAGTTGCGGACATCAGCCTCGTAGAATGTGTCCGTCTCGGGATACATTGCGTACACCCGCGATCCCACAGGAAATATCGGACCTGTCGCCTGTGCTACAGACGGAATGGCTGCGAGGTGACGGGCTGGAGTCTTGTGCCGGGTCACTTCCTCTTTATCAGGGTCACGCAGATCGTAGGCGTAGCCGCTGTTCGTGGTCATTAGCAACATGAGCCTGACAGGATGGAATATGCTTACCCTTTCTTGTCCTGCAAGATCTTCTTAATGACCTGATGTTGCCCAGCACCTTCGACGATGATACCCTTCTCATCCTTCTCCCCAGGCTGTATTCTGTAGAAGACATCAGTGCCAACAGACAAGGGACCAGTCTTGTCTGCCTTTGGCTCCGGAACGTCCTCCTTGACTGATGTGACCCGATTCTGACTAGCCACACTAGAACTTCGCTGCGAGTTGCCCTTGATACGCTTGAGAACGTCCCCACGGCTGTCGACTGGCGTTGATGGCGAATCGATAATATCGGACTCGAGAATCTGCTTGTTGTTCTTGCGTGATTTGCCTGTACCATTCCTAGGTGCGGGCTCTTCTGAAGACTTTATGGCAGCCAAAATGCCCAAGCTGTTGATGGGGTCGTTGTCTTCGAGGACCTTCTTCTCTGCTTCGGCATTCCGCATCTGATCCCGATATAACTTGTCGAGCCTTTCATGTTGCTCCTGAGTTCCATCTAGCTCGTGTTAGCTCGCAGCGTGCACGTGGTCTGGTACCCTCACGTTTGGTGCCCTTCGCTTCGCCAGTAGCCTTGATCTCTAATTCCAGCTCTATGATGGCTTGGCCAGTCTTGTCGGAGGCGTCGCTGTACTCCTTGGCTTTCCGTATCGCTTCGATGGCTCGACTGAGCAGATCTGCCTCCACATCGTTCTCTTTGGCTGCATCACGTCCTGTCAGGCCTCGTGCGTTCCTAGGGCGACCAGACATGGCGAGGTCTGGGGCTCATCTGCACAATTGGAACGGAAACGTGCTGTGTCAAGATTCGCCGTGCTTCGAGGGGCCCTCCAAGTCGCCCTCAACGCATCCAGAGGCTGCTCGCTCGTCTGCTTCCGACTCAATTTCCAGTCCTTTGTCGTGTCGTTTTGGTTCCAGTCACCTCTGCTTCCAATGTGGCCCTTGTATTGCCGTTGAAGTCCTTCCCTTAGTTTTGTTGCGAGACGGGGCTTGGCTGATCTATACGTACACAGAGCCCTGCTCAATTAGCGGATGCGCCGCGAAAGCCTGTATGGCACTTAGGTAGTCCACTCAACGATGGTTGGTACCGACGAAAGGCAGACCCAGCAGTCAGGCCGGCTTAGCTAATTTCTGAGTCAGCCAGCTCTATGATTCGAGGGATCGAGGGGTACCACCAACGTCACTGCAATATCCGAAAATAATTATAGCGATGGTGTACACACCATATTGACCATCCCGTCATTCGAAAATCCATAGAAGCCGCCGGAGAGCCTCTGAGCGCAATTCGTCCTTACATTTATTCCTGACACCAGTCTCGATATTTAATAACAGCGTGCTCGATCATCGGTACAATGCAGGTGCCATTGTTGCGGCTTCAGTGTGGTACGGTGAATAATGCCCTGTTACATTATACATATACTGACGAGCCACAGGCTGCAACAGCTACGACTGGGGTACGTCAGACGAAGGAGTGCTAGATTAATGACGCTGACCTGGTACAGGAAAGGTTGGAGAAGACTCTGCTGCCGCCAAATATGCCTCCGCTACCCCTTCGGAAGGCTTCTCGATACAAGAGGACAAACCCTACGCAGAGGTAATCACGCCGTGGTCCTCCTCAATCCGATCTAACAGACATATCAGCTATGGATGGGCACGCACCCATCCCTCCCCTCCAAAGACCTGACCACCGGCCGCTCACTCCTCGACCTCGTCGGCGACAACCAATCCCTCATGGGCTCCGACATAACCAGCAAATACAACTCCAAACTCCCCTTCCTCTTCAAAGTCCTGTCAATCAACAAAGCCCTCTCGATTCAAGCCCACCCCAACAAGAAGCTGGCCGAGAAACTTCACGCCCAAGACCCCAAGAACTACCCCGATGACAATCACAAGCCCGAAATGACCATCGCCATCACCCCCTTTGAAGGCCTCTGCGGCTTCCGGCCGCTCCAACAAATCTCCGGATTCCTCGCCACCGTCCCGCCTCTTCGAGAATTGGTCGGCGACGACAACGCCAAAGGCCTCGAGCGCGCCGCCTCATCCTGTGAGCCCGCCAAACCCGCCCTCCGCGCCGCCTTCACCGCCCTGATGAAGAACTCCAAGGACACCATAACCGCCAAATCCAAGGACCTGCTCTCGCTTGCCGAAGGCAACAAACTCAACCCTCCCGAACTCAACGAACTAGTCACCCGCTGCAACACCCAATTCCCCCACGACATCGGCCTCTTCGTCCTCTTCTTCCTCAACTACGTCAAGCTCTCCCCCGGCCAAGCAATGTACCTCAAAGCCGACGACATCCACGCCTACATCTCCGGCGACATCATCGAGTGCATGGCCTCCTCCGACAATGTCATCCGCGCCGGCTTCACACCCAAATTCCAGGACGTCAATACCCTCACCGAGATCCTGACCTATGACCACGAACCCGCTGAGAAGCAGTATTTGCAGCCGGTGGACTATCCGTATGTAAAGCTGGATCGGGCGGCGTATTCAAGCAATTCGGAGATTTTGCTGTATGACCCGCCGATCGAGGAGTTTTCGGTCGTGCGCACCGTGCTCAAAGCTAAGGATGCTAAGGCCACATTCGAGGGTCTTGCGGGACCAAGTATCGTCATCTGTACGAGCGGCTCCGGCAAAATCAGTGTTGGGCCGAAGGAAGAAGAGATCAAGGAGGGGTTTGTCTACTTCGTAGGCGCGACTGCTGAGCTGGTGCTGCAAAGTGGGAGTGAGGAGATGGTCACCTTCAGGGCCTTCTGCGAGATCGATGGGCATCAGAACGGTACTAACGGGGCGTGACTGTCCGATGGTCTCGGCAAGGGCAGACTGTGAGCCATTGGCTACACCGATGCCTGATCCGGCGGATACGGTTTATGGCACATCTCGTGCTCAAGGCTTGAGGCACAACTCGCAGCAGCACATCATGCAGAGCAGGGCAGTGATGGTATAGCTCTAGGACAAAGACGCAGCAAACACGGCTTCAACTACAAGCGCAAAAATAGATCTCAGTACCCAGCCTGCAGCTCTAGAGCAAGTGTGATTCTCACAGCAAGAACTTCTTCGTTAAGAAACTCGATCACTGCACTTTCTTGCTGGAATTTACTTTTGCTATGTGCCCTGGCTTTCCCGAACAGATACTTCGATGAACGCCAACATGCAGCAGCAGTAGCCCTCAATGCCATTCCCAGCCTGGCTAATCGCCTGCGGCGCACATCTCGCTCTTGCTCGCCTCTTCCGAAGGGAGCGCCTGCGGCGCGACTAGGGAATTGCTCGCTGCGCTCGCCTAGCCGGTGGGGAGGTCGTGGCGCGCTTCGCGGCCACTGACGTCCCCCATCTAAGTCATAGGCAACCTCGCCCCCCTCGGCCTCTGCCCGACCGCGCCCCTATCCCTCACATTACTCCTACTACCCACTCCCAACCGATGCACCAAACCCCTCTTCTCCCACACCCCGCTCTGCCCCTGCACGACCGCCACAACTTCCTTCGCCACCCTCTCCCACAACGCCACCTCTGACCTCTTCTTACTGCTCTCCAAAATCCACTTTATCGCCGTCCTCCGCCTCTGCTTGACGCGCAAGGGGATGGGGATAGGGAGGTTCTGCCCGCCACCCAGGATCCCGGCGCGTTGTTGGATCTTGATGAGGGGTGCGACGGAGTCGATGGCTGACGTGAGGAGGGGCCGGGGGATGGAGGGCCGGGTTATGCGGGTTGTGCTGATTGCATTGTCGGAGAGGAGGGGGCGGTTGGCTGCGCCGGTGGCGGAGGTGGTGGTGGAGGTGGCGAGTGGGGATGTGCGGAGGTGGTCTAGGATTAGAGACATGTTCTGCGACGAAGTGTGTCAGCTGCTGTGTCTCAGGGCCGGGGTTGGTGTTGTCTGGCGGCTGAATTGAAAATCTGATTGGACGTGTGGGAGCAGGGCATCAGTGAGGAGTACTAACATACCTTCTGCGCCCTCGCGAGCTTCCCATCGCGCATGATCATCTTGGTGAACTGATCCACCACAGGATCGTATCTCCTCCGCAAGTGGTTCGTAATGGGGAAGTTCTCCGTGTCCGGCAGAGGAAATTTATGCCCGGGACCAGCATCAGGATATTGAAGCCCAACAGCGCGCGTCTCTTCAAACTTGGCTGGAGTTGTGAATGCCTGGATCATGGCCTGCCGATCCGCAGCTGCAGAAGAGGCAGAGGACTCGGTCTGCTCAGTTTGAAGCCTCCTCGCAGTGGTCGAGTACGCTCTGGTCTGCGTGCGCCTCGCAGCCGTCGAGTATGACCGTGCCTGCCCCTTGCCCAAATCCTTCTTCAAAACCTCCGGGGCGTTCTTCTGCGCATCCTTATCCCGTTTCAGTATATCCTGGATCGGGCTCCCATGGTCCTCAGCTTGAGGCGACGCCGGCTCCCCCATAATCTTATCCATTGCGGCCTGCTCCTCCGTCACATGCGGCAGCTGCGACTCGTTTGCGCCGTGAGGCGTCTCAGCGGCTTTCTCTTGCATGCGACCTAGGCCTGGGCCTTCTGCTTTCTCGGCATCGCTCTTGGAGGACTGTGCTCTTGCTGCGACTGGGAGGAGTTTCCGTGGTATGGTCTGGGACGTTGCTGTGCGGATTGGGAGGCGGAGGGGAAGACGTGGCGGCATCTTGGACCAGAGCAAGGAGGTAGATTGGAGTGAGAAGGTGGAAGTGCGATCGAGGGAAGGAAAGGTCGCTGGTGTTGGATGTGAGGTGGTCTACCCCGAACTTTATGAATCGTCAGGATTTCGAGCATGTCTCCACATTCGGAAATGCCAAGGCCGGGCATCGGTGCTGCAGTTACATGTACATTACGATGTAGTAGATCTCGGTCTTCTTGAAGCTGTGTGTAGATGCATTGACATGTACATATGTCACTCAGCTCATCATGGTGCTTGCAACAAGCTCGATGGGTGAAGAATGGCATGTTTTGTATTCGTACACAAAGATACACGCATTTGCTGCCGTAGTCCAAAACGCTGACTGGACGCCAACTCAAATCTCTGATGTGCTTGCACAGCGAGGGTATCTCAACAAGTGCTGCCCCTTCTGCCTTTCATCTTTGCGTTTCCCCACGGCTTTTCATCCCTTACAGATCACCACCTCGGTATCTCAGCTTGTAGTCCCCAAGATAGATGCCTCTTTCTGACGTCCGGAAAGCGCCCAATACTTCCTCGCATTGGTGACTCACCCGTGCTCTCCAATTGAGGCGGACCTCATTCGAGATGTCGCTCTCTTCCCGTCTTCCTCACCCCTCTGAACACTAGGAAAACGATTTTCTCAATATTGGCGGGCCCCCAACGAAGGACCGGCCACCCTGCATATTTGTTGGATCCCGTCGTCTCATGATCCGCCGAGAAGAGCACTCAGACCACCCAAACTCTTGCCACCACTTCCAGGAGGCGCCGCGTCGTCCGGCAAGACCCAGAAAGCCAGAGCAATGATGATGTACATTCCCAAGCACAGCAGTCCCTCCAGCCAATTACTCTTGCCATCCTGGATGAGCAAGACAACAACCAAGCTAGCCAAGAAGAAGCTGACTGTCTCGAACGTCTCGAAATGCAGAGTCATAGGCCTGTCCATAGCCCACCCCAGCACGACCAGGAACGGCGTAACGAAGAGGGCGATCTGCAAGCTCGAACCAATGGCGACGCCAATAGCGAGATCCATCTTGTTCTTGTAGGCGACAATCACCGCAGTGACGTGTTCGGCGGCGTTGCCGACGATGGGGATGAGAATAAGACCGATGAAGGTCTTGCTGATGTGCGCTTCCTCGACGATGGCGTCGATGCTGTCGACTAGGTATTCGGCGCAAATGGCGACTCCGACGGTGATGACCACGAGGACGGCTCCAGCGGCCCATGGGCCTAGTAATGTAGCGCCTTCCTCCTCGCCGTCTTGCGCTTCGGCGTCGTCGAAGAGGTCGGCGTGCGACTTGAGCTGGAAGTAGAGGTAGGAAACGTAGATGAAGAGCAGGATGATGGCCGTGCCGCGGGACAGGACCATGATGTTGTCCTCCTGTGTTTGGTTGTCCTTGTTCGCCATGACAGCATAGAGCGTTGCTGGGATAATCAGAGATGCCGTGGCGACTGTCATAAGAGATGACATGGTTGACGCGACTGTGCTATTGAACGATTGCTCTTTGTATTTGATGCCGCCGGCTAGGAAGCAGCAGCCGAGGACGAGGAGGATATTGGACAGAATACTGCCCAGCATGCTGGCTTGGACGATTCGGATTTCGTTGTTGCGCAGAGCAATAATGGAGACCTGCAGGTGTGTTAGCTGGACCTCTCGTGCTGTGAGCTGATTCACTTACAATAAGCTCAACTGCATTGCCAAAAGTAGCGTTGAGAAGGCCTCCTATTGTCTGGCCCAGTGGGACCGCGAGCTCTTCAGTCGCAAAGGCCAGCAGCGAAGCCAATGGGATAATAGCCACGAAGTTCAAGGTGAATTGGAGTACTGGCGACCAGTCCAGCACACCAGCGATAATGCCGAGCGGTACAAAGACCAGCAGGACGTTGACGTAATTTGTCTTCAATATTTCCCATGTTGTATGCGCAACGAGCGACGGGTATCGGATGGCAGGGTTCTCGTGTTTGTAGTATGGTGTGCCCGAGTCTGTGGTGCCGATGCGACCAAGCAGATGAGAGCGCTCGTTCGGCTCGGCGGTGCCGTTGCCGCCCTGCGCTCCGTTACTCATGTCGCGATGGTGTCCGCTGCTACTGCTGCCTTGACGGAGGAAGTTCTGACGGATCGAGCTTGCAGCTACATTGTTAGACACAGCCATGGTTAGTAAAGCTCATCTGAAATGGGGCGCAATGGACCTGGCGCTCTGACGACAGCACTGAAAAGAAAAAGATCGGAGCTCGACGAACGAGGTTGGGGAAATCTCACACATGGAGTGTCCTCTTCAAAAAGCCGAGAGGGGCAGTGCTCTTGTGATTCCGTACAGGACAGGGCAAGGTGGCTCTTGTCCACTGGGCGCCAAGTAATGAAGCGCTGGTCGATGAAAATGCTTGACGCTGTAGTCAAATTACCCGGAAGGTCCAAGGTAACTTCTGACCAGCTGACCACCAGAAAATATCTGGTCGAACGGTGGTGGTGGAGAGGATGCTAAGTGCGAGCTCGCCGATGAAACGAATATCAGTACGAAATCTCGAGGTGGCTGAGAGGATGGCGCTTTCGCGTAGCTAGCTGTGCCTGAAGCCAATGAATTTCCAAGTCAGCACTCTAGTGACGGGTGATAAATGATACCAAGCTTGCGGGTGCTTCAGAGCTCGAGTGAAGCGTGAAAGAGAGGTCTTCGGGTGCTTGGATTTGCTCGAGGTGGGCAATCGCAGCAATGCGGTCCCCAGCGGATATGATGCAAGCGGCGGAGCAGAGTGCTTATTCACGCCTTCCGCCAATGACGCCTGAAGGTCAAAATGCTGCGCCTCAAAGCCAAGCAATTAGTGCATTTCGGCAAGCGTCAAGAACTTGAAACTTAGATCGATCCCGCACATCAAATTCACGAGCATCGTCATCGTTGTGTTACTCACGTTGGCCAACACTCATTTGACAGTGTTTTGTGAGCGGGGCTGTACACGAAATGGACGACGAGGACGACGACGACGTCGGCAGAAAGTACGTTGTCTTTGCGAAGTGGCTCGAGCTAGGTTGAGCTGTCGTCGACGAGCGCGAGCGCTGACGCTGGCGACGTTGCACGAAGCATTTATATTCACTCCGTTCTTTCCGATACTTCTCCCTACGCACAAGGCCATATGTATGCTCCAGGTGCACTTCGACTGTATCGCACGCTAGAACACATTGCAGCATTGCTGACCGAAGCCTTACAGTGTCATTTCTCATCAACGTGATGGTTATCTTCTCCAGCGTGATTGCTGCCACAACGAATCACTGCAGAACAACACAATCCCTCGGCCAACACCGCTTGTACAGACTCACGCCAACACCGTCCATCGGATTGATCTTCCCATCAAAGGTGGCCTTGAAATACCCATGCGTGCCTAACGCCTCCTTGATGAACCCCTGTCGTCCCCTCTTTGTCCATAATGGCAGCGCTTGAACCACTCTACGTCTTCTCGGTTGAAGAACATGTATCTTATTGTGACCAGCTTCTTGTGGATCTTGAAAGGGTGGCCGGTCAGGATGACGCGCTTCGCAATTACACGACTTGTCGAGGGTGGGAGAGTGGTTGCGCTGCCGATCAATTCCAGTTCCTCGGGAGGTGTGCTGCTTGAGATAGGAGTGCTGCCGTCGCGGTGACGAAACACGAGGCCAGGCACGGCTCCCCATGTGACCGGTCCGACAAAGGTCGCCGTTGCAGTCGTACCTGGATGAAGGAATCGCATGAATTTGTGGACGTCATTAGGCGTGTTACCGCTCGCAGAGAAGACTGGGTTGATGATGAGTCGCCGATGGCCGATCTGGACCAAGAGCGGGTCCTTGCTGCGTACAGGCGCCGTAGCGCTGCTGGCAAGTGTCATGGACAGGTTGATGGCGGAATGCTTGTGCTCGTGGCGGAGGAGAGAGAAGAGAGACGTTGGCGGAGAGTCGAACTGTGACACATTGAGAAGGGTGATCTCGACACGGCTTCCAGCTGGGATTGGACCAGTGAGTGCTTCCTTCTTTGCAGTATTGGTTGACTTCTTGTGGTCGGCGATATGCAGTAGCCGTGAAAACGTGTCGGGCTCATGTGCCTTGTCTTCCGCGGTATTCCACTCACTGTCACGCAGCGACTTGAGACCTCGATACTTTGCGAGACGTTCTCGTGCAGACACGTTGGGATGTAGCTCGATCTCATCGGGGAACTCCAGATCTTCTTCGACTTCCTTCTTTCGAGAACGGTACTCGGACAGCTGTCGGGCCTCTTCCTCGTCGTCTGCGTCGACGTGCATCTCCGATTCTGGATATTCTGTGGGCGCAGCCTCGGTGGCGGCATCGGCTACGAATCCGTCTTCTGGTCTCAAAGGGGCTCCGGAGTCCATGTCGACATCGCCCTGTTCGTCCATGTCGTAATCGTCATCAGAATCACTGACATCCTCCAGATACCACGCTGATTGATAGTCTGACGTGCCTGTGGGCAGCTTCTTTGGCCGAGCCGGCATGTGTGAGTTGTCGTCTGAGAAGTAGTGATGATCGTCTAGTAGGACACCCTTCTTTTCTTCACTGCCATTCTCCATGTCCGCAGCATCCGTCATCTCAGCTTCTTCTGGAGCATACGCCTCGAGGCTGTCTTGTTGTTCAGATGGTCCCCACTCTGCGAGAGACTCCTCAACATTCATCTCATCGGCTTTGCGCTTCAGCTGTTTGGATGGAAGCTGCTGAACTGAGCCGATCCTTAGATCGCCATATCCCGATAAGTGGACGAGTCTGTCTGGGTTCAACGGCTTTCCTCTGACGATTCCCCTGATGACTGCATCCATATTCTTCCCATCTGCTGATGGTCTCCAGTCGTAGCCGTCCACAAGCATCCAACTTCGTTCATCTCGCCATTTGATACCCTTCGTGGAGGCGGTACACAGGGTTCTGATCAAGTTCGAGCAGTCGGACTCGCTATCCAGACTAGATAGCTTGTCTATTGACGGCAGATAATGTCCTAGATCCATTTTCAATTCCATCAAATGCCGTGATCGTTTCTGTGCGGGTACACTGCCGTTCAGGTTTTGCACGACTGCCGCAAAATTCGTGATACCTTGCCCTTCTATGGACTTGAGCAGCATGTCGACGCCCTCATCATACAGTTGATCCGGTCTTACAACGAACAATACCCAGTCCGCCAATTTGCATACGTCCATAGCATTGACAACATCGAATTTGGCGGGTAGGAACAGCAGATTGCGTCGAAATCTCTCGACTGTGAGATGTGTAGTGCCGTTAGACTGCGATTCAACAGACCCGCAACCGTGCGTCAGAGCCTTGATCGTCGCTTCGATGTCAACATCTGGTGCCAACGGCACGACAGCAACATGCTTGGGCGCACCACCAATGCCATGAAATATGCGCGATTCATCCTCTTGTCTCTCCTTGTGATTGTTGCGTAATTGCTTCGCTTGGTTCTTCCTGGCCAACTTCGACATTGTCTGTTGATATGGCGTGCGTCTCTTCCCTCTCTCTTCACTACCGGACGCAATTTTGCCCTTAGCGGCGTCCTTGAGCGCACCCTTAGAGGCGAATCTGGTCTTGAATGGCTTGTGGTCCGCTTTGGTTGTGCTCCGATGGTGATGCACTATCGGAGCCATCGTTTTCGCTCCTCCAATGTCGCCGCCCTTGATCCGGAAAGGCAGAGACATGTTCACGAGGAGGACGTCAGGGCTCTTGTGACAACTAGAAAAGTGATGGTGGGGTCAAGAATTTTTGGATTCTGCGGAGAAATAATTTTTGAGAATTTGGAGGCGCCTTCCTCGATGCCACCACCTTCCTTGACATCGGCAGCCATACTTCGAAACGATGGCAGAAGTCATGTCCCGGCCACGGGAGGCCGATATGGAAAGGCTGGTCGAAAACACTGACGGAAGAATGGCCATCCAGAACATCCCCAAACCTCAGCGGCGAGGTCCAACCGCCATCCTCTCGAAAGCCGACAAGGAGGACCAGAAGCGACTGGCTGAGGCGCGGAAGAAATACGGTCGAGGGCTGCCGGTGCGAGTCAGCCAGGTCAAGGACAAGAAACTACGAGCGAACCTCAAACGGATCGAAAGCAAGTACAAGGACGCTGCCCTTAACGCCAAAGACGCAGAGATACTATACGAGAACGAGGAGGGCTTCCTGCAACCAGAGAGCGAACTAGAAAAGACGTACAAAGTCAGCCAGAGCACCATCATCGATGCGGTGTCTACACAACAAGCAGCCAAGTCGGCCGAGTTCAAACTTGATATGGGACCGTACATATCGGACTACAATCGAAATGGCCGCAGTCTACTTCTCGCTGGGCGGAAAGGACATGTTGCAACGTGCGAGTGGCGTGATGGCAGACCTGGCTGCGAGTTGAACCTCAACGAGACCATACGTGACGCCAAATGGCTGCACAACGACCAGTACTTTGCAGTGGCTCAGAAGAAATACACATATATCTACGACCATCATGGCGTCGAGATCCACTGTTTGAAAAAGTACGTCGAGGCGAGTCATCTCGAATTTCTGCCGTACCACTTCCTGCTTGCTGGGATCGAGAACAGCGGATTTCTTCGATATACAGACACATCAACCGGGCAGATCGTGGCAGAGCACCCAACTCGAAAAGGTGCTCCAACATCAATGGCTCAGAATCCATGGAATGCAATTCTTCACGTCGGACATCAGAACGGGACGGTCTCGCTGTGGTCACCCAATTCGACATCCGCGTTGGTCAAAATGCAGACGAACTTTGGACCTATTCGATCTATTGGAATCGACCGATCTGGTCGATATATGCTGACAGGCGGGCAAGACTTGCGGCTGAAGTTGTGGGATATTCGTGCTTTGAAGGAAGTACATTCGTACAGCACACGGCAGCCTGCGAGCAGTATCTCCATCTCGGACCGCGGGCTGGCTGCAATCGGGGCTGGTACGGGCGTCACTGTCTGGAAGGATCTATTCACGACGCCACCATCAGCCGAACCAAACAAAGCTCAGTCACCCTACCTATCATGGGGCGAGCAGGGGCTGCCCATCTCCAGAGTCGACTTCTGCCCATTCGACGACATACTGGGCATCTCGCATGCCAAAGGCTTCTCCTCGGTCATTATCCCGGGAGCAGGCGAAGCCAACTATGATGCACTAGAAGCCAATCCATACGAGACCAAGAAACAGCGACAAGAGTCCGAAGTCAAGTCGCTGCTTAACAAGCTGCAGCCAGAAACTATCGCGTTGGATCCAAGTTTTATTGGATCCTTGGATACCAGATCTCATGAGCAGCGGATGAGAGAAAGGGACCTCGATACACCAGCAGCAGACCCGTTGGCCAAGCTAAAAGAGCGCAATCGCGGCCGGGGCAAGAACAGCGCGCTACGACGACATATGCGTAAGAAGGGCGGCAAGAATGTCATCGATGAGAAGCGCGTGAGGATGGAAGAGATGAAGCAGGAGAGGGTCGACGCGCGGAAAGCGAAGACGGAGCAAGAGAAGATGCAGCTCGGTCCGGCATTGTCGAGATTCGTCGGGGCTAAGCGTTAAGGATTCTGCGTGTAGAAATATCAGATGATTCGAGGATGTTAATGCTAAGTCGAAGTGGTGTGATAGCGAAGTGATTTGACGAGTGGTCTGATGGTCAATGCAGGCAGTGAACCTCAGAATGCGTGCTTAGATCAAGAGTGCTCTGATTGGTTGCGCGGAAAAGCGCCGTAGTTTGCCGAATGACTCTCCATTTCTGGTTCCGACCGACATCACGCATTGTCGGAACTGGCCTGCTTTATAATGCCTTACACTCCTAACTACTTCCTCGACACCGCTACTATTCACTCGCTACGTCTTCAGTATACTCACCCGGATGCACTGAACCGCTCTTCCATCTAACGACCTTCACAATGGCCACCCGCCAGCTCGTCCCCAACACAACGTCATCCGCCACCTTCTTCCGAGCCCTCGCCATAGCCTCTGTCGCACGAACATGTCCTCACACAGCCCGCACGTTCGCATCCTCGCGGCAACGTAGTCAGTCCTCTAAGCGAGAACTCTACACCGTGCCATCATATCAGCCGCACTCATTACCACAAGACTTCCCGCTCCCGCCACGAAACACAGAAGTACCATTAGAAACATCAATACCTGCGCCAGCACGGTCACCCGTGCGCAGTACCGAAGGACAAACCCCTACACAGCAGACAAGTCCGACTCGACAACAAACACCAGGGCAGACTACTACAGCCCCACTCCCTCAACAAAAGCAGTCAACCACCACACCACCTACAACAAAACCAAAACGAAAATCCACCCTCCGCCCCCGCAAAGCCGCCCTTAAAATTTCCCCCCACGCAATCACCCACCTCCGCAACCTCCTCGACCAGCCCAACCCGCAACTCATCCGCGTCGGCGTCAAGAACCGCGGCTGCAGCGGGCTCGCCTACCATCTCGAATTCGTGGACAAACCCGGCGCGTTCGACGAGGTGGTTGAGCAGGATGGAGTGAAGGTTCTGATCGATAGTAAAGCGCTATTTAGCATTATTGGGTCCGAGATGGATTGGTTGGAGGATCAGTTGAGTGCGAGATTCGTGTTTCGGAATCCGAACGTGACGGAGAGTTGTGGGTGTGGTGAGAGTTTTAGCGTGTCATAGGGCAGTACTGTCACAAACCTGTCAGTAAGCAAGCAAGCAAGCGATATTGTCATGGCTATATCTACATCTCAGTCCGCCGCAAAGGAATCGGGGTACTAGTTCGAAACATTGATTTGAAGAACCTCGCAACCATGAGCCCGAACGCTCCACGCTATATGCATACCCTACCGTGCGCGGTATACCCTTCTACCTCGTTTCTTCGTCAGCAGCGCGGAACTCGGATACCCTACATACTTTCTCACTAATCGTTGTTGTGTCGACCTTCGGGCGTTCGTTGCACGAATCAGACACTCTTGACGGCACTTTGATCCATGAACCTACTCGCCCCGTCAAGTAGCAGCAGATGCTATCCTGTCATGGCAAGTGCGGGCAACCTTCTTCGCGTGTGCTGGAAGTCAGATAGCGCTGAGGTGGAGGAAGAAGGAACGAAGAAGGTCGAGGGCAAGCCGCCTACTTATACCTCTCCAGCGCAAGCGAAAGTGGAGGCTAGCACAGATCAGTCACTCAACTGGATCGGCAAGACTCGGGCTGCTGCCTAGAGGCTTCACTTGAGAGCGCATGGAGACGGTATCCTTCACCGGAGACGGGCTGCACAGCTCGTGGAATTGACCCGTATTGAAAGTCCTAGTGACGGCAGACTTCCCACAATCACTCTGCGTCGTTCCCTTCAACAATTGCTACCTAGTATACGCCGCCTTCGTAGTCCACTACCCGCACGTCCTCAAATCTCGGCCCATTCTTCTTCACGAAAGCCTTGTGCGCCGGGTCATCATTCACATAGTAATCCCTATCTTCAGCGTTCTCGAAGATGACCACGAAGCCATGTGTAAGGCCTCCCTGGTAGACATCGTTAGTATTGATAGTAGAGAGGCAAAGGGCGGTGGAAACGGGGATATGTACCTGAGCGCCCTCGGGACTGTTGTCCTTTCCACCAGATGAGGAGACGATGTAGGGTGTGTTGTTGGTGGGGTGCATGCATGTGTGGCGGAGGCCGAGCATGTCATCGCAGAACTGTCCAGATTTGTCAGAATGCTGCTGCCACTGTATGGACCGTGAAGATGTGTCAGTGTACTTCTTTGACCTCTTCCGGCGACAGAGAGGACTTGAGTTTGAAAAGGACGACGTGCGTTATTGTCATGTCGGCGGCAAAGGAAGTGGTCACAGGGATGGGTGGGTGAATCGAAGGATGAATAGTCGTTGGCTTTCTACATAATCGTATTATTCCTCCATATATCCTCGACGCTGATCATTGTACAACATACCCAGCAGGGACATTCATGCATGAGGTATGTCATTGATGCAAAGAGCGGAAGTGCTTCCTCGTTGAGCTGTGCCGCAGCTTGCCCCTCCCCCACAGACGCGAGTCAGTATCTGTACCTTCTTGGTACCTACCTACCTGCCAGAGGTGAACTCCACGAGCCTGACTTTCAAATCTGAAGTCCTGCTCGAGCAATTACGATCCACGCAGGCAGGCCATCCATCTTCATCTGGTTGTCCACTGCTCCACGAGCGCAACACACCACATTGACTGGATCCCTGCCCCAGCATACGCTGCCCCCGCATCTCATTCACTGGATCTGGGATCGATCGTGTGCTGTTTTGGCGGAAGCCACGAGACCAAGCACAGCACGATAGACACGTCACTCTAGGTGCTTCCCGTACGAAGTCGAGGAGTCCCACCGTTGAGAACCAGCTTGTACCAACCATCCACAGACACCGTACACTTGGACACCTCGAGCCAACCGCTCGTCCCAATCTCAACACATGTCCGACGAAATGTCACACTCCCACGACCATTCTAACGGCGCCAGCCACGACCACAGCCACTCCACTCCAACGGACCACGGCCACACCCACGAACACTACACTAACGCCGGCTCGTACTTAAACCGCGAACAACCCCTACTGGCCTCTCGGGACTTCAGCCAGCGTGCCTTCACAATCGGCATTGGCGGCCCTGTGGGCAGTGGTAAGACCGCTCTATTGCTTGAGCTCTGCCTCGCGCTCAGGGATCAGTACAACATCGCCGTCGTCACAAACGACATCTTCACGCGTGAAGACGCTGAGTTCCTCACCAAACACGGCGCCCTAGCCCCAGAGCGCATTGTCGCAATCGAGACGGGCGGATGCCCCCACGCCGCCGTGCGCGAGGACATCAGCGCAAATCTCCTCGCGCTGGAAGGCCTACACGCCAAATTCAGCACTGAACTCCTCCTGATCGAGTCCGGTGGGGACAACCTCGCAGCAAACTACTCGCGCGAACTAGCGGATTTCATCATCTACGTCGTGGATGTCGCTGGAGGCGACAAAGTGCCCCGTAAAGGCGGCCCCGGCATAACCGGATCAGACCTCCTCGTGATCAACAAGTGCGATCTTGCAACTGCCGTAGGCGCAGACGTGGACTTGATGGAAAGGGAAGCCCTGAAGATCCGCGAGGGCGGGCCGGTGGTGCGGGCGGTGGTGAAGAATGGCGTAGGCGTGAAGGAGACGGTGGAGTTGGTGCTGGGGATGTGGAAGGGCACGAGGGGTTATGCGGATGCGAAGGCGCGGTGGGAGAAGGGTGGGGCGAGGGGGAGTGGTGAGAGTCCCGAGGTTGTGCGGTATAAAATGAATCCGATGCGGATGGGCTCATGAGGTTGATGTCGTGGCATGGCCATGATTGTATACCTTTGCTTGCACACCCAACGCACCCCCGCCGAGCACATAAAGCCTCTAGAGCCATAGCCAGCTCATCTTCGAATTTGCGAATTATGGAGCTTTGAATCCAATTCCGACCACACGCTGCCACATTCTCCCATCAGCGGCAATTATGCTCAGCTCGATCAGTACACAACCCTGAGCTGTAAATCGAAGCTCCCTGATGGTCCTGCACCTATATCCATGCCTCAGCACGCGCCGATGGCCACCCTGCCGATCTGTTCATCTCTGCTCGCCTGCCACCCGTAACGACATTCCCTCTGCCATCTACCGACAACTCGAAACATCGCCAACGAGTTTCAAGCTGCTCTAGAACTGACAAAGCGAGCGATCAACAGGATGAAGTTCAGAGGGGATAAAACACGAACTGCCTTGAGATCTACCCCACCCGGAATGCACCAGCCAATCGCAGGTGATATCAGACTTGGCAAGGGCGGAAATGAAACGAGAACTGTTCCGGACAACTAGCACCATCACATCCCCCATCCCGGCTCATCGATATCTCGAGATCTCCCTCGGGCGCTCCCGTAGATATCACCGCGTATGCCAACCACTCAACCTCTTTCGCAGGGTTCAGCACAGGCCAAGGCGCGACCATAAGCTCGCGCCCGTCCGTTGAAACAGCCGGCTAGACCCTTCCGCTAGCACAGTACAACGCGGTCTTTCCCTATTCTGCGTTTGCTCTCCTGGTATACCTGCATCGAGCCAGGATACTGCTTGGACGCTTCATTGGCCCTGAATGCAACCCAAGGAGATCAAGGCTGGTAAGGGGAATGGTGAGCTTACCTGACAGCGAGTAGCTGGCTAATATGCACTATGCACCTGAAAGGGATCGTGTTGTGGTATATAGTCGTGGTCAGCGCCACGAGCTATCGCCCCTTGCTGGATCTGACCGTGAGTTGATCTTGCAGTACCAAGAGGTGAAGTCTAGTGTTTGCCGTTCCTTTCTCAAAGTCATTCCTTTCGATCGCGCGCAGGTCGTGCACTCTTTGCATTACCACCACTCCTTTCTGCACGATAGTTGGACACACAGACTTCACCAGCAAAAGCGAACAGCAGCTTGCATTACTACGACTTACACGACATCGAAATCTTGACGACCAGCTTTCACGACATCGAGATGCGCTTCACAGCAATCACCGTCCTCACCTTCCTCCTCGCGACCGCCCCAGCCCTAGGCGACAGAGGCCAATTCGGCGGTCAGGGCGGAGGCCGAGGTCAAGCAGGACCTCCAGCCGCAATCGGGCAAGCACCACCAGCACCAGGTCAGGGCGGTCCCGCTGGTGGGCGTGGAGGGGCCGGCCGTTTCGGACGACCGAATGGTGGGAATGGGGGTGGTGGGCGTGGAGGTGGGGGTGCTCAGGGCCCGCCTACTACGCTGGCAACAGTGGCCGGGACTCCGCCGCCCGCTGCAACGGGAAATGCGGCTGCTGGAAATGCACCGCCACCTGCTGCGACAGGAAATGCAGCCGCGGGGAATGGAAATGGCAATGGTAACGGAAACGGAAACGGCAACGGAAATGGCAATGGCGGCGGAGGAGGCGGAGGCGCGATCGACACATCTCTGATCCCACCATACGGCATACAGCAAGGTGTCAAGGCCAACGATGGCACAGCCAACTGCGTCGGGGTTGGCGGCAAGGGCATCCCGTGTGACTGCCCGCCGGCCATCGACAAACTTGCTACCGCCATCCAAGCCCAGGTAGCTGGCGGCGCGCAGTTCCCAACAGGTATGTCGTCCCGGAGACTAGCATGGCCAGACAGGCTGTTGCATGAATATGAGATTTCAAGCGCACGGGCTGACAAGCACGGATAGGGAACTCGGTCCAAGATCAACTTGATCGTCTAAACACAGCGATTGTCGCGCTGCAGAACGTGAATGGTGGCCCAGGGAGTGGTGTTGGCTGTCCCGCGGTCTCGACTACATGGGTCGCTCTCAGGACGCAGCTGTCATCGCAGCTGTGAAACTTTGCTGTGGTCCAGACGGAATCCTCACACGGGCTCGATTTCGGGTCCAGCGGCGGTCGCGAATCCAACGGATCTCACCTCAGGACTGGGGGGTTGGTCTCGAACAGCAGAGACCATAGCTTTGCGATGCACAGTACATAGCACTTGCCACCCTTCTTACGATTCGAAATGAAAATCAATTCATCATTTGTGCTACTAGGAGTTTCTGTCATTCTCCGGTGGACGTCGATCACTGCGACATTCGTGCCGTACTTCACAATCCTGTTCGGACCCAGACTCTATGCGAGCTCGGACTGTTGTTTGTGAATGACGCCCCAGACCATGGTCGAAGGATGACATGAAGAGGCTCTGCCTTGTACATCGTGATCGCTCTCGAATTGAAATCTTGAGCTGTACTGCACTTCCAACGCTTGTCACCGCAGGACTGCGTACTGTGCGAGTCGCTTGCGAGCCAAAGCCATGGCCCAGGGACGGCAGAGCTCGACTTACTACTCGTGTAGCAGTCCACTGGCCTGTCAACAGTCTCCAGAACCCTGGCCGAGGCCCTGGACTGATCGACCGAGGGATATACTCTAGATGGGGAGTCAGTGAACTAGTGGTAAATGATGTATCAGTCAGTAACCACATGGGCCGGAGATGCCACCTGCGCCATCACTAAGGCCCGAGACCTCGCAACGCGAACACGACGATCACAAACATCAAGAGAAGTCGCAGTCGCAGGCTAAAACGCCATGTCGGTGAAAGCTAATCAGAGCAGCAAATTCGCATCCTTCGCTGTTGGGTTGCTGCCGAAAGTATGAAGCACGCTGCCCGGAGTTTAAGAGGAATTGCGAAAGCCCGGGACATCCAGGCGCGGGCCACTGGGGACATTCACTCTGCTCGATCCAACAGAAGCAGTTCACCATCCGTGATCTTGTTGATAACTTGCTGTGCTACGATATTTGTTCTAATGAACGTCGTAGCGTCTATCTACCCGGCTCTCTCGGAGCGCAGAAACCTTCCCGTTTACTACACACCATGCTGTCTCGGTCTCTCCATCGTCCCATTTTTAACAGAAAACCATCGTCTCGCCTCGTTCTTCACGTGGCCCCTGTTGCTCTACTTATGCGCCAGCTGGCCATGCTTCACCACCGGTGATCCATCGACAGATTACTACAATAACAGTCACTTCATCGCCATTCCGCTGTGGTACATCGACTTCGTTCTCCTAACGCCCAGAGACGGCAAAGATGCCCCTGCATTCACTGGACGAAAACTCGCAGACGATGAGCTTAGGGATGACGCGAGTGTTGTTGCCGCCCATGGCCAAAGCTGGAAAGATCTCTTGACGTTCTGGGAGCGAGTTAAGTGGTCTATCAGGCTGATGCTGCCTGCGCAAAGGGGCATCGGATGGAATTGGCAGGTTAAAAATGTCCCCACGGATCCGTATGCAAGATTATCATGTTGGCAGTACGTGCGCTGCCAATTGCGGTGGGTGGTATTCTATTATGTTCAATCTGTGGCAGCGTTGTTTATACTGGGCATGGGATGCGTCTTCAGAGCGGAACGTAGATCAGACGAGCTGCTTATGGCAGTTGCTGCAGATGCTATCGTGGGATGGTCGGGTGCCGTTTGGGTATGGGACAGATTGAATTGTGCGTATCTCTTAGCTGCTGCTCTGGGTGTTGCGACAGGCGTGACGGAGCCATGGGAGTGGCCACCCCTCATGGGGCCGTTGAAAGACGCATGGAGCGTGAGGCAGATGTGGAGGTATGTGCATTGAAGCTTGCATAGTCAAGTATCGATTTCCAGAAATGTGCTGACATACAATTGCGAAGTGCAACATATCACCAGGCATGCCGCAGGGTGAGTAGATTCCAAGGTTTGCGTCTTACAAGACGGTCGTGCTGACGAAACATCTAGCTGCTTTCCCGGCCGCCAAAACAGCTTGCTTCCTTTCTAGGTCTACGTAATGGTAGTCTGGCGTCCGGCTACAGCCAACTGTTCATTTCGTTCGGGATAAGTTGTCTTTTCCACCAGGCCCAGATGTTTAATGTTACTCGTCGCGACATGGGCGAACTGGCGTTCTTCATGTCGCAGCCTGTGGCTATTGTGGCGGAGGATCTTGTGCGCTGGGCTTGGAAGAAAAGTGGCATCTCTGGGAAGAACTTACATTTCGAGAGAGCGGTTGGATATGGTTGGACGTTCGTCTGGTTTTCATCCAGCTTGCACTTATATATTAGTGGACTTGTGGAGGCGCGCGTCATTAAAGACTGGCTGCTTGGATACAAGCCTTTGGGGACAGGTGCTGATGTCGGCCAGCAGCTGTTGATGTGGTTAAGGGACTTACCGAAGAATGCAGGCAAGTGATACACCTGAATGTATCAGTCAGCAGCACAAGACCGAAGATCCCGCTTGCGCATGGAAAGGGACAAGACCTCGCAAGGCAACCACGTCGATCTTAGCCTTGGAGGGAAGCCACAGGCTGAAATGGTGGACGACCATGCCCTCATAGCGACACATAGTTGGCAGTGCGTTGACCTCCTTCGCGATAGTCGGCACGGGCTGTCACTGACATCGCCCGGTCAGCGTGCTTCATCATCCGGCTTCTGGGCACGTCCAACGGCCGGTGCAGGAGTGTCCCAGGAAAGCTCTTTGCAAGCGAGCAGTTGACCATGATTGTTGTTTGAGTATATGCGCGGATTTCTGCGGTGTTCGCAACTTGGCCACAAAGATCGTCGACGACTAGCAGTAGCGTCTCTTTAGCATCCTGCCGGCGATGGCTAGAGCGCTGTCGGGCTATAGCGACGTGAGTGGCTAAGAAACGTATAGTAGCGCAAGTAATCAGCAACATGACTTGTGCCTGCCACTGTTGTTGTGAATGAGGGGTACTAGGTATTCTCACTTTCTGCCGAGGAACATTCCGAGCTTCGTCTCATGGCGGGGTACCTTGCAACGATGCCGTTCTGCAGAAACATACGATCGACCATGTCGGCTATGGCAGTGACCAGGTTGTTGTTTCTGTAGACCAATCTACCGCGGAATGCTTGTGCAGTTCGCAAGCTTGTTAGTCAGAGCCCGCTCGTGCTGACTTACTCGAGGCGAGTTGTAGGTCAGCAATGCAAGTCGAGAATGACTCGGCCCAAGACCACTCGTGGTCCACAAGCCCTCAGCGTGAACCAGTCATGTGTGTGTGCGCTGCTGCCTGATGTGAACTAGTGGTTACAACTGGCAAACGTTCGACTGTATATGCTTCGAAAAGGACGCCCGCGTGGTATGATAGAAGCCAATTGCACCGAAGTTGAGGTACACCGGTCTTCGTCTCACCAATCGAAGTTCTTCGTTAGCAAGCGGAAGTCTGCTCGTTCAAAGCATGCGTGTTGAATGCAGAGAGGTCAAGCCTCGCGTCAACTTGGAAAGCTTGAGTGGCATTGGGCGTGCTCGTTCGCTCGGGGCATAATACGGTCCCGAATTTTGGGGGCCGAATGTATTCGGACAGATCCAAATCACCTGGCTCGTTCCGTGAACTCGGAGTCTGGTTCTACGACATTGACTGTTGCTACAGATCTCTTCCAGTGTGACCAGGCGTATAAATGTGCAGTCAACACAAACGATGTGTTCTCAGGTTTCGACCGTCTGTCGTGTCAGTGAAGCATTTCCGTTTGACATCATATCGTCCGAAGCAACGTCAAGAATGAGTCTTTCTTGATTAGCCTTCAACGAGCTTTCCTGGGATTAGGCCTGCCAGTACAGTGTGAGCCAATCTCGGCCGCAGGCGTTGGGGTTCTCGGACGCCACTCTCAAGCGTCCATTCGGTCCTCGATGCGTTCGAGGTCGTGGTATACCATGTAGTTCAACAACTCAAATCATACCTGCCACTTCTGAGCCGCTGTAGCTGTCGCTCTCGATGCGCAACCATGCAATGATAACACCGCCATTCCACTTCCCCGACCTTGGTCCTTGAGCAAGTACTGTGAAGCTTTCGTCTAATGTTGAAACAATCGTAGCGTGCGCCCCAGTTCGGTTTCTCCGTTCCCGAATAAAGGAAAGTCGTAATCCGATTGGTTCGAGATAAGCGACCAACCCCCATGTCGCAGTCGTACTACCACTTAGTCACCGCGACGCCGGAGCGCCTTACAGTAACTGCCCTGGTGGATGGCCGAGAAGTCATCGTGGCTTGCCGTGGGGAATTGAGCAACTGCTGGCAATAACGCGTGCCATGGAAACGCCTCACCCCTCTTCCTGCTCTGGGACGGACTGTGGTAAGCTGTCGTCGCTATTCTGTGTTTTGAAGAGATTCCTAGGATTGCAGGTCGACGGCGTTGACGATTCTCGTAGCTGTACAAGATTTTCGTATTTCTGTTGAAGTTCCTCGTGATCTTTCCGAAGGGCCTGAAATTGAGATTCCTTTCGATCCAGAAGATCTCGCATGTCTGCCAAAGCCTTCTCCTTTCGTTCCCTGTACGCCCTCTGAGCAGCACGATTCTGGACTTTACGTCGCTAGAGATGCGTCAGTGAGTGCTGCATAAGGATAACAGTGGCTCACCTCGTTCCGGGCTTTCTCCTGCCATTCCGCGTGGTCTTGTACGCTTCCCGCAGATGATCTTCGATTGCCGTAGAAATCACCTAACACCGGCGAAACTTGCGCTGAATGAATGAGATGCAGATCGCTTGACTGATCAAAAGCCGTTTGTAGGGGCGTCATAGTATTTGCTGTCCACATGTGTCCCGATCCATCCTGGTACCCAAGGGAGAGTGCAGTGTCGAGGCTCGCAGCGAGGCCACCAGTCATATCAGAGGCCATGGGGTGTTGCATGGAAGCATCTGTTGTGTACTGCAATTCGTTGTGATTCGGCACGTAGGAAGGGTCGTCCTCGAAATCATTGCCATCCTGCATTGTTGACTGTCTGCTGAGGAGTGCGAATTGAAGGTCCTGCTGTAAAGGCATTCTTTCGCGCATGCTGTTGGCAAGACAAGAGGTTCGTCGCTATGGAGAAAGGAAGTGTCGAAACTCAATACTGGTGCTTGCCCCAGATATACTTTTCGGCCATAGTAGGAAGTAGCAGATCAGTTAAGTACAATAGGCAGTTGTGATATTGTGGTAGATGCTTTGCTTAGTCCAAGGGACTCGCCTTGTGGACAAATCCACCGGATCTGCTCCGATTAAGGTGCAGGGATGCGTAGGCATGGGCTGGACTTGGATGGGCATTCCAGATTTCGCTCAATTGCAAGTTTCAGAAGCCAATACACAACTCGCTCATCGAGTCCCGGAACTGTTGACTGTACACCGTTCGTGCCTCGTTAACGTCACCTTGCAGGGTTGCCGGCCTCGTGGGGCGTAGTAGATGATTAGCGGGAGGTTGTAAGAAGCCTAGCGCCTCATATGCCCATTTGTGCCGGTCTCCACCCAACGTTTTCTGGAACGAGTTGAAGTGCACCCAGCGCGTTTGTCGGCCGAGGTCTTGGAACTCCGGGACGGTGCTGTATCTACCGCGGTTCGAACGTAGGGCTTCTCGGGAGGCCCTTCCATGACTTCGCATATTTGCGCTGTAGGTAGTGGATTTCAGAAGCGTCGAAGACGTCCGCGTCGCTTGGTCCGCTGACGGACGGCCTTCGCCGTCGCCGCAAAAACGGGCCAGGCCGTGCTGAGTGATGAGATAACAGGGTCGCGTCCCCGAACCCCAGAAGCGAGCACTGAGCGTGATCTCGGTTTGACGAGCCCATAGTGTACATGCTCAAACCGTTGAAAATACATCGACTTGCAAATGTTACAGCGCCACCTCCTTCCTTGGCTGCCAAGGATTTGATGCGAGATCGCAGCCCACCTACCACGATGGTACTAGATTGACGCGGCTCCTCAATTGGTAATCTTCGCGTTCTTTGTAATTTGTCTCCGTCCTCGACTATGTCATATGTTCGAGACGTTTGGAGTCTTGGCTGCACAGAAGCAGTCTGATGAAGCTACTTGGTACGCGGCAGTCTGACGAAGCTGTACGAAAACACGATGATCTGCCTCCGAGCCTCCGAAATCCGCGCACTGCAATGGCAGCAGGTATCCGACGGCGACATTGCTGACAAGAACCACGTGTTCAAACGATCCGGAAATTGCGAAGCAGGTGTTCCTGATCTGTTCGCATCTGCCCTCTGGTGAGCAAGCCTGCTGTAAGCGGGTCACGATTGATGAAGTCCAAGGGTTCATCCTCCCCACATCCTGGTAACAACCCAAGATGGCAGTCGTGCTGCCTAGGTAGGAATTCGGATGTCTAGCCGTTGCTATTCTGACTCTATAGTCTACTGCGAAGCTGAGCATCCGCCTCCTCGGGTATCAGCTCCGCCAGGAGGACGCCTTCAGCCACATCATCGCCATCTTCACTCTCCAGCTCAATTGCCCAAGCCACACGTCCAGCACGAGGACTTCGGATCTCCAGCTCCATCTTCATTTGCTTGACGAAGCCAATGACTTGGTTCTCCTTGATCTCATCACCTTCCTCGACAAGTACCTCTATCAATTTGCCACTCATTGGCAACGTGACATGCGCTTTGTTGTTCGGATCGCCGCGACGATGGCTCGAAGATGCTGCGCTTGCTGACGCAGATGTACTATTAACCATCATGCGATATCCTTGAGGCTTGGACCCTGGCGAGGTAAACGAGACTTCCGCCACCAGAGCTTCTGGAAACTCGTTTCTGGAGATCTTCTCGATCCGAAGGTGATGGGCTGCAGGTGTAGTGCTTGTCTTCTCTTCGACCTTCTGTAGCTTGACGTCCCATGCATCGCCCTTGCGAAGCATGACTAACGACGATCCCATACCGCTTGACCCACCAGAGGCCAGCGAGAGTGCAGGCAGGGCACTGTTAGCCATCTCAACCTGCTTACCCAATGCATCGCCCTTCTGCATCAGCACTTCCATCTTCTTCTCCAACCAATTGGTTGTAGCTAGCCCTGCCTCGAAGTCCTGGTCGGCCACAACCGCACGCAGCAGGTCGATATTCGTCTTCACTCCGACGATCTCCGTTTCAGCGAGCGCTCTTCTGGCCCTGGTCACTGCTTCCTGAAACGTCGCAGCAGTAACGATGATCTTTGCCATCATATTGTCAAAGTCAGAGCCCACCACACCGCCACGAGATAGGTGAGAATCAACCCTGATACCATTGCCACTCGGCAGTCGCACATCAGTCACCTTTCCAATACTCAACGCAAACCCATTGCTTGGGTCTTCGGCACACAGCCTGAGCTGAATCGATGCCATCTTCGGCGCGTCTTCTGCTTCCCACCACTCTCCGAACCTCAAACTCTCCACTTGCCGCCCCTGCGCAATCAACAACTGCTCCCTCACTAGATCAACCCCGGCAATACACTCCGAGATCGTATGCTCAACCTGCAACCTCGGATTGATCTCCAAAAAGTAGAAAAGCCTCTTGTCCGAATTCACCAAAAACTCCCACGTCCCCAACCCCAAATACCTCAACCGCTTAGCCATCTTGACCGCCGCATCCACCACCTTCCCCACAATCTTCCTACTCACACTCGGCGCGCCGGCGCCACCTCCACAATCTTCTGATACCTCCTCTGCACACTACAATCCCGCTCCCACAAATGCCTAACCCCACCCCGCCCATCCCCCACAATCTGCACTTCCACATGCTTGAACCCCTCCACCGCCGCCTGCTCCGCAAATACCATGCCCGACGGACTCTCCCCTACACACCGCTGCACATTCCCCTGTAGCTCCGCTTCATTCCGCACCAATCGTATCCCCCTCCCAGGGTCATCATCGTCGTCGTCGTAGTTTTGCTGGCTTGTGGCGTCTTGAGATTGCTTGGCT